GGCAACACTGACGCAGCTTAAGGGAGGCTTCAAATTTAAAGCAGAATGGTTTTCCACTACTGCTCTCTGCACAGCAAGGCTCTTACTCTAGCATGAACACTTCCTCATAGCCAAGACTTCCTTCTTGCCTCCTTTCATGTGAGGAGCCGCAGCAGGAGAGGTGTGCCAGGAGCAGCCAGCAGGTCTGCAGCTATCATGGCACTGGTGGCACCTGGTCCCAGTGCCATGACTGAGGCTGGCAGGTATGTGCCTGTTTGCCCTGGCTGTCCCAGCTGCCTGCCCCACATCCCCGTGGGTCCCTGCCCAAGCAGCCAACACCAGCTTGCTCTGCCTGTGCTCTGCCCACCCCACGGGGACATGGATCCCTCCCTTGCAGAGGGATCGTATAGGAAGAAACCATTTCTGCACTTCCCTCCACTGAGTCCGTGAAGCCAGCCAAAGCCTTTAATTTTTCCAACAATGGGCTTTGCCACATGCAGGCATAGGGTTGGAAGGACACAAGAATTGCTGTCATCCCTGCAGCATCATCACTGGGGCAATAAAGGGCATGTTAAGTGACTTGCCCAGGGCCACCGGGGAGGTCTGTGCCATTGGACACCCAAGCTCTACTTACAGCTTCACCACCAGCAGCTTTAATGATCAGTTTCTCCTGTCCCTGCATGTGGAAAGCGGTGGCTGGTGACGTGCCTGTGGTATTTAGGAGGTGGCAGGCTGTGGCTTCAGGCTGTGGATGTGGGTGGACACAACAGCGCAGGCAAGCAGGCACCCACCCAGCACAGAATTAGGTGTCTCAGCACATTCTCCCTGCCAGGCCCCCCCATGGACTGTGTCACATTGGTGTGACATTGGCCCTGGTTTAAAACAAGCTCATCCCAGCCCCATGGCGTGAATTGAGCCACGTCAATTTCAGGGCGATGGGGACAGGGCTGCTGTGGACCAGAAGAGGCAGTGCAGCCTCAGTGGGCCTTGCAGGGAGCATCGAGCATCCCTGGAAAACGGGTTTGAGGAGCCTTGCTTCTCCCTCCCACCTGGTGCTGACTCGATTCCTGAAACCAGACTTACCAACAAGTCTCCTTCCCAGCCTCAGTCTCTCTTCCCTGATGTGCAGGCTCTGGGCACAGCCAATGCGTGCAGCAGGGGCATGCTGCAGGTGAGATGGGTCCCCACTGGGTGCAAAGCAGAGTGTGCAGCGAGGATGGTGGCTGCACGGCACGGACGAAACTGGAAAGTCTGCTTTGCCAGCCCAGGAAACAGGCGGCCCCAGCAGCACCATCAGCCCCACCTCACTGCTGACCCGAGCACTGCTCACGCAGGTGAAAAGCCAGAGGGGAACTCCCTGACAGACCAGGAAGTAAAAGCTGCCCTCCTGCCTGTAAGAAGCCTGTGGGCATCACTGCCCGGCTCTGTGCCACAGCAGATTTGCTTCTCCAAGTTATCCCTGCAGCAATGCTACGCCGGCTCACGTGGCTGCAGGCACTTAGCACAAGGGGACAGATACCTGCAAGGGGATGAGAGACATGCTGCATCCATCCCTGGTGAGCTCTGCACTTGGGGAGCCCAGCTCTTTGGCCCATAGGGGCACACATGGCACACCATGCGAGGGTCTGTGAAATGCATGTGGCAGCAGGGATGAACAAGGATGTTCCACTCCAACACAGGACAGAGCAAGGGGATACTGATTGGGTGGCTCCATTCCCCAGCACCAACAGGAGCAGCACCAGGCACATGGCCAGGAGTAACTTCACCAGCATCCCTGTCGTATTAAATTTATGCTTGCAAACTCCTTCCCTTGCTGCCGGTTCAGCCATGCTAGCCCAAAACCCACCTTCTCACCACAGATATTTGGGGCGGTGCTGTAAGCAAGGAGAAGTACCACTGGTGCCTGATGGCTGACACAGGGGAGAGGCCCCAGAAACCAGACCCTTCCCAGCACTGCCTGGCCAGCCCAGCTGACCAGTCCTGCCAGATTTTCACATGACCACCAGGGCATTGCCACAGCAGGAGAAGTGCTGAGGCTTCACCTCAGCCACCCAAAATACAGCCCTGCTCACAAGTGCCCTCCACTACTGCTGCTCAGAAAAGCATCATCTTCAGGAGCAGGACATGCTGTGAGAATGCTGCAGCAAAGCTCGGGGGGAGGGGAGGGGGGGGGGGGGGGCACACAGACGTCGAAACACTTTTTGCTCTAATTTGGCAGTCGCAAAGAATGCACGGGAGAAATGCATAAGGGGAGCAGCGGTAAGAGGGAAGATGCCCAGTAAAATCACTTGGGGAAAGGGAGTTTGTCTATGCATGCTAAAAGCTGAGCATTATCAGCAGTCTTTTCAACGGGCTGTTAGAGAGAAGCATCTTGGTGAAGTCAAGCTGCACAGGACTCTGACTGCAGCTCACACTTTGGTAATGCTAGTGATAACTTGGTGCTATGCAGGGAGACGGCTGCTTGGCCTTAACGCAGGTGAGTTTGGTCTCCTTGGCAGGACCCAGGCTGGGGAGGCTGTTGCTGGATCAACTTCCACTGGCAGGGCAGGGACATGCCCCGGCTGGGGGAGGGAAAAGCTGCAGTACAGCAGCATCTCCTCTGTGCAGCCCCTATCCCCCTGCCCCAAATCTCACTCTTGGGCAGAAAGGGGGTGTTGAAATACCTTGGCATCATGAGCCTCACAGGGCTGGGTGGTGCACAGCCAACCTGGAAAAGCAAGATCCCAGCCCAAAAATCACTCCTGCAGAGAGCAGTATGTAAGAGGCAGCTTTCAGAAAAGAAGGGAAAAGGGCATAAAACATTACAGCAAAAATGTGTATGTGGTGAGCCCCACAACCGCACCGCACCAGCCTTTCTCCCAGGCCCAGCTCCCTACACCTGACTGCATACGCTGCAAGCCGACCTTCAACACGCACCCGTATTTTCCAGTGAAAACCACAACCATCACGTGTTCAAGGGCTGGGAAATGAGAGGTCTGGAGGCACACTGTAAATACCTCCCTACAGAAACAGACATCGCTGCAGTGCCTGTGGGCAGCGAGTGGCGACTGAGCTCAAGTTCCAAGGGAGCCAAAAAACAGGATCACCGCTGCCAGCGCTGCCCCGCTGCGGCCATGGCGAAGCCTCGGCAGCCTTGAGCGGCCTGTGCAGTGCCGGATGGGAAATGCAGTCTGGTCCTACTGCCTACAAATCCCAGCACGCCAGGGAACGGAGCTGCGTCCCAGCCTAGCCCCTGTCTGCTTCCGGCCAGCACGGGGAGGGGGGGAAATATAAACAGCAGCGTCTTGGGCAGAAGTGGGGTGTTGTCTCGGGACAGGCTGCTCTGGGAGCAGCGGCAACGCTCACGGTGAGTCCGTGCTTTCCTCTCTAGCCGAATCCCGGCTGTGTGCGGTGGGGTGCTGTCTGCTCCGTGCTGCGCGGCTCTAGGGTGAGCGGCGGGACCAGCGAGCACCCAAGGGAATGCCTTTCTGTGTGTCTGGCATCGCATATATAGGGGTTGCTCGCAACGGGAATGTGCGCACATATGCGTGTCTGTATGCAGACAATGCTGCCGTTATTAGGGGCAGGGAGATGGAATGGAGAAGTCAGGCTCGGCTTGCAGCGCTTGGAAGAACAGGGCAGATGTGAGAGGTAGGTGTTCTCTCTCCGGGAGCGGCTGCTCAGTTCCACTGCCTCATCTCCTTTGGTTGTCACTTTTGGAAAAGTACTTGGCTGAAATTCTGTCAGGGGATGGTTTCTCCCACCCTGTGCCCAGCTCTCTGGGAGGAGACCCCTTCCCAGCATGGAATATGGGTGGAGGAACAGACAGATATTCAGCATCTCCTGGCTTTCCAGGGCCCCCTGTCTGGTGGAGCAGTCCTGCCAGCACAGCTTTCCACCCTAGGGGCAGTCAGGGAGTGCACACTCAAGCATTCAGCCCCCGTGGCAAGACTCTGGTTCTCGGGACTCATATGAGCCAAGTGTATTTCCTATCAGCCTAGGCAACAGTTTGCAATCCCTGAATAATAATTAATTAAGAAAACTGGGCAAAATTGAAGGTCTCCCTGAAGACCCTAACTTGCCCTTTACACTGGCTTTGGTCTGTGCTTGCACAGATCAGTACTGATTACCCAGTAATCAGGTGGGACATGAACTGGTAAATGAGATTTTAACCCCATTGGCATTCCCAGCACATCAGTGTAGAACAGTCTTCGGTGCCTTTGCTCCCCAGATAAACCCTGCAGTGTACTTGTAGGAGCCACTGAGTGGAAATAATCACCATGGGATCCCACTTGGTGGGAATGGGAACAGTTCCCGTCCCACAGGCTGAATCCTAAAAGTCTAGTACATATAAATGCAGTGTACAGCATAGTTGTTACAGAAACCACAGGACCTGGGTGTACAAAAATAATGGGGTTTATGATTCAGCTGCTAGGCATAGGCAGACCACGTAACCACCACAAGCCTTTTGTCTGCCAGAGCTGGGTTAGCACAGCCTGCACAGAGGCCTTCAGTGCAGGGGCTAGTTGGCTCACAGGCCTGTGCAGGAGCAGACCAGCCCCATCAAGGGGCATCCCATCCTGCACCCAAGCCCACACCATACATCTCTACTTACTCAGACCTTTTCCTTTTACAGCTGCACACACAGTGAACTTGCTTATTTGTGGCTACAGATTCACCATTCAAGCAAAAGTAGCAAGAAGTATGTGAACTAGAAGGCTATCCATAAAATCTGACTAATTTTGGCTTTTAAAACCAGACTTACTTTGCTTGAAAAGAGTTCCACAACTGCCTTCAGCAGTTCCCCCAGAGGAAAATACTTTTGGGGAGGCAGGGGGGAATCTGTGGGTGAAAAGCTACTTTTCCATCATATTTAATTGGAACTATTCGACAGGGTTTTCCCGGAGCAGAGCTGTTGTCAGCATAAGCAGGTTTATTTGGGCTGCTCCACTTGGCAAGTAGGATGTCCCCTATCTCCCTCTCCCCCCTCTCTAGGGGTTATAGTATATCAGCTTAATTGCATATTTTCTCTCTAAGGCTGAAAGTCAAAGACGGCAGATCCTGAAAGCACAGTCATAAACACTGATGTGAAACAGGTAAGAAGGTGTTCATTACAAAACACATCCTGTATTTCTAAAGCAAGTTTTGAAAAGCCACTGCAGGAGAAGACACACCACAACCCAAAGATGTGGTGGCCTGAATTGCTTGTGCCTAGGTTTCAGCAGAAGTGGCTTATTCCAGGCCTGCTGGGCACCTGGTCCCAGTGAGGTCTATGTGATTTCCACATGGGAAGAGGTTGTAGGGCTGATCCTCTAGTTGCATGGACATTTGCTCACACTTGAATGTTGGAAGACCCTCTACATACACAGAGATTTTATTAGACTCTTCAGAAGACACAAATAAAGGGTAAAACCAGCAGTATGCACAAAGACACCTAGCAGTGCCCAGCTCAGCACAAACATGATCATGGCTGTACTGTGCCCACAAACAGCAAAATCATGAAGCAATCCCCTCTGGTGTAAGTTGTCCTCAGAGCATGTGGCACTTACCAGACAGGTTAGGGTTTCACAACTGCCTGCCCCTGGAAGAGGCCTGGTGGCACCTCTTCTTCAAAGTCAGTCTGGCATCAGGAACTGTGATGCCTCCCACATCCAACCCCACCACCCTGGTAAGGAGACCCCTCTCCCCACCCCCCTCATCCCTAACTATGCGAAAACAGGGTTGTTTCTCTCACAGCCCCACCTCCACAAGCTCCTTCTTGGCTGTCCCCTAACCAGTCTTTCCTCCACATCCTGCAGAAAGATCTCAGTGAGGCACTCGTCATTGCAGTGACCACCAGGGCCATCTTCAGCCTGGAGGAGGAGCACAGGCTCTACCTAGAGAAGGGCAAGGAGGAGTACACAAGGCACCAGCAGGCCAACCAGGACAAGCCCCTGCCACCAGGCACAGCCTTTGCCTTCATCCAGGTGAGCCCCCCCAGCTGGCCAGGGACACATGCAGACACTCACAGGATGGGGTGAAAGCTCAGCTTTCCTGGCCTTGGGTCTCAGCTCCCATCGCAGGGCACAGATATGCCTGCTCTGGCCTCTTGGCCCTATTGCAGTGCATTGAGACCTATGCTCTTCACCAGCCCCACATGTCCACCTCCCCCCTGGTGGAATATCCTGCTCCCTACTCTCCTGGCAATGGCTTTTGCAGGATGGTTGCTCTGTCTGGTTCTCTATAACATGCCTGCCTTGCCCTAGCTGACAGATGTAGCAAAACTCACTAACTGCAAAAAAGAGTCCCAGCAAAGCCATTGCAGTCGTGCCCCTCCAAGCAGCCTCATCATCTCCTCGCAGGCAGTGCAGCATGTGAACAAGAAGATCCTGGAGAGCAACCCAGCAGAGAAGGACCTCTTTGATATCCTGGTGCTCTCGAACAACAGCCCTGAGAGTGGTGTGCGCATCATCAACAGTGCCAAGCACTATGGTAAGGGGGATCCTGTCCTCGGTGGTGCCTGCTTCCTCCCAGGGAGGATGCAAAGCAGAGAAGGTACCACTGTGGAGCATCAGTGGCAAATGCAGAGCCAGGGAGTACAAGGGGAAGGGGTTATTTTGGAAACAAGCCCAACTCCTGCAGCTTGCCCAGGGTGCTGGAAAACACTCAAGGTACAGGCTCCTGGCTCCCTTCAACCGCATCCTTCACACCAGGGGATATGGCAGCCTTTTGCATAGCCAAGGCATCCTTTGGCAGCTACTGAAGAATCAAGAGTTCTTAAAAACCCTAAATCCCAGCATGCTGTCAGGAAGGCTCATTTAAGAGGGGTAGGGGATGAAGGGAATATTTAACTGCACTCTGCAGTTTCATAGAAGCAACAGGGCAAGAAGATACAGAATGGGCAGGCTCCTCACACAGCACTGAAATGTTAGTTGCCCCAAGCTCTGCAGTAAAGCACACAGAGTCTTGGGGAAGGGGCATCTGTGAGGAGAATGTTGCTCCATAACAGACTTTGCTTATATCCCTTGACCCAAAGGCCTGGAAATCTCCAAGTTCTGCTTTGTCAGCAATGAAGACTCTACACAATGCCTGAAGTCCCATGGGGTCAAGCTCTTTCTCTCAGCTGACAGGACAGATGTCTGCAATGCCCTCCAGAGAGGTGTGTTCTCCCCTTCAAACCCACCACATTTCTCCCAAGCAGCTCAGTACCAAGAGGTAATGCCAGATCCCATGCTCTCACGGGGGCAAGGGATTGAATGGCACATTGATTACCTGTCTGGTCCTGAATAGTTCAGTCTCCCCCTCTGTCCCTACCAGTAGCCTGCAAACACACCAGGCTTTCTTAAGATGCCTTCACAAGTCACCAGGAGCTTTATGCACAATTCTGGCCACGGTCTAGTCATTCCCTGCCTGGCATTTATGCCCTTCTAACCAAAGATGCTGTCCATGGCTGCTCTCTGCATCAGTGAGAGTGCATTGGCAACTCCCAGGGCTTGTGAGTATGCTATAGAATTTTGCTTTCTTGGTACATGCAGAGTTATCATGTGCTCAGTGATAGATGTAAACACATGCTTGACCTGGATCAGAGGGAGTGCACTCTAGTACACAGCAGATCACCTCCTTGGCACTTTGCTTGGGTATAAGCACATCAGCTGGCTAAGTTCCTTCAAGGTCAGGAGAAAGCCATCTGCAGCCTGGGCCTCCCTACTCTGAGCAGCACATTCCTGAAGCTTCACTGAACAGGATCATTGCTCTGACAAGTATCTCTCATTGAGGGGTCTGGGTCCACAAAGAGGGCAGACAGGGAACAGATGTAGGAAGAGACCTGTAATTAAGCCAATTACCCCAATCAAGTGGAGGTGCCAGTGCCTATTACTCACAGCACAGAGTGCTAAATCTGGGCATTAAAGTCAGGTTTGGCAGGGTGAACAAGCACCAGTAGGACGACTCCTCATGCCTACACAGCCACTCATCACCTCTTAGCAGATCTCGGTATCTCATCAGTCTGATCAACAGCGCTTTCTCACCCATGCCTATTAGGGAATAACAAAGCCCTAGAAAGTCTGGGCTGACCTCCACAGAAAGCCTTGGAGATCTCAGTATCGCAATGTGGGATGGGGTCATGGCAGAGGTGCAGGGATAATCTGTCCATGCATGAGAGCTGCCCCCAGGAGGGGTGTCCCTCCTGAGCCCACCTTGCCCTGTCCCGCAGGCGTCTCAGCAGCGCTCGTCTTCCAGCAGGAGGTGCAGGTCCCCAGCATCCCGCTCTGTGTGGTGTTTGACGGGGATGCCGTGCTCGTCTCCAACAAGACAGACCAGATCTTCCAAGAGCAGGGGCTGGAAGAGGCAGTGCAGTATGAGCAAGCAATGGAGGATGTGCCCATGGGAGAGGTGAGCAAGCCACCTCACTTTCATGGACGCCCACAGGCTCTGTGCCCACCACGAGCATCTCCCCTGCTAGGGCTTTGTTATGAGTAGCCAGATAAACCTTCCAGGTTCCCTTTGCATCTACCACTTGGTGCCTGGTGTGGGCCCGATCTGGTGTCCCACTGGAGATGGATCTGGCCTCATGTCTCCTAGAAGTGAGCACCAGCTCCGCAGTATCCAGGGTTGTAGTGACCCCGAACATCACCTTTTGTAGGGTGGGACCTCTTGCTATGCAAGTCCCTGCAGGACTCAGACCCAGAGGCACTGCTCCCTAGGATGTACCTTCCTGATCAATTTGGGATTAGGAACATCACAACACCCACCTTCCTCCCAAGCACCCCAGTGGACAGGACCAGTCCCAGCATTGCCTAAACCTGCACCCTGCAGTCATCCTGTGCTCTGCAGAGCCCCAGGAAGAGGGACAAATGGCTTGTAAAGGCAGAGTAGATATCTCCTTATTTCTCAGCCACTCTTAAATGCCTTGCTGTGCTGCCAGGGTCCCCTGAAGGCTTTTGCCATGCACCTTGGGAAGATGTGCAAGAAATTCAGCCAGGAAAAATTCCCCATCCGCACCTACCTGGTGACTGCCCGCAGTGGCCGGGACATGGGCATCCGAGCCATCAAGACACTGCAGGAATGGAGTCTGGAAATTGACGAGGCTTTCTTTATGGACAGGGCTCCCAAGGGCCCTATCCTTGCCCAGATCCAGCCCATTTTCTTTGACGATGGGCTTCATAACATCCAGGGAGCTCAGAATGTGGGTGTACCCTCTGCCTGGGTCCCCTCCTGCTGCTGATGGGCTGCAGGCCAGCTGCCCTCCTTCCTAGCAGCACAGGGAACTGGGCCAATTGAAGACACACCTTCTGGGATGGAGAGGGGAGAATTTCCTAACCTGCACCAAGCAAACCTCAGGGAAAGGGGCAAGAGCATTGCATGAGAGCATGGACTACCAGGCAAGACTTGGTGCTCATTTCTGCTCTTCATATGAGGTCCTTGAAGTCTTAGGATAAAGCCAAAAGATGCAACTACTCCACAAAGGAAGGACACTTTTACCGTGAGACTGAGAACTACCACCTACCTGCCCTGTAGGATCTGGGGACCTTTCTGCAAAGAAATAAATGAACCTATTGCCACACACATGAGCTAAAAGAAGCATAAAACCAAGCCATAAAAACATTAGCTTTGGGTGTGTTCAGATGGTCTTAAAGATTTATTTCCAGGACCTCTGCCCAAAGGAAGCCTTCGAGACCCTACCTTCCCAGACGCGCTCAACTTGTTTTACTGAAGAAGCTGATAAGCTAGTAAGTTCAGGCAGCTCCAGCCAAACTCAGCAGAGGGGAAAAGGCTCCAAAGCTCTAAAGGACCTATAAGCTTTTTAGAAACGGGTGACCAGGTTGAAGAAAGCCCAGCTATTCCCCCTTATAAAAAAGATTACAGCATAAGTCACCTTTCCTTCGGCATGCAGGCTCCTCACAGAGTGCCCTTAGGAGACCCACACCTGCAGGACACGCAGGTTACAGAGCTGCAGGAGAATGGGACAAGGCTGCAACCCAGCTCTGAGGTACATCCAAGAGACACAGCTGCCATATAGCTCTGATGCTCCACCAGGAGAGGGCACTGGAGTTGAGCTGCCTACAGCACAAGCCATGCAGGGCCAGGGCTGCAGGGGCCAAAGCAGAACTAGGTCCTGAGCCTGAGCTTAAATGGATCTCCAGGGCCATGGTTGGGGGGCTCAGATGTGGTTTCTTAGGGTAGAGGGGGGCCCTGGGTGTGCTCAGGACCCTGCCTGGCACCAAAGCGCTGCCCTCGTGCAGGGATGCCTCTCCTCTGGCAACGCAGACCATGCTCCTAATTGTCCTGGGGAGCTAGCAGCCCCTCAGGATTCGTTGGCAGGTTTCTTTCTCCAGTGCTAGATGTGAGCGGTTGCCACTAGAGGCCACTGTGCTGCGTGGGTGCATGGCACCCCAAATCCCTGTGAGCTCCCCAGAACAGCCTGGTAAAAACACATAAACTCAGGGCAGTGTGCCTCCTGGGTGGCAACAGAATTATGGGCAGGGCAGATAAATGACAATAGCTTAGTTTTTTAAATCTCAGCTTAATCACAAAGAGGGGGGCAGTATGGCTTCACAAGTGTCACTCTCACCAATGCTTTCCCTCCCCCCAAAAAAAACCAAATAGGCACCTCTGTGCAAGCACTTGTCTGTCACACCCCATGTTCAGCAGTGTGGGAGGAGGGCTGGGATAACTCACTGCTCCTCTGCAGACATTCAGTTCTTTTATCTGGTCTTATACGCATGCGTCAAAATGGGTTAAGTACATGAGAAATCTTCAGTGGGCTTTGGATTAGACCCCTGAATATCTTCTTGCATCCATGTCCCCAAGCCCACTCCTGCTTCCCCAGGCTTGGGGGCTCTGCACATCTCGTCCTAGCAAGGGGAGCTGCTGGCCCCACTCTGCCACCATAAGGACCATGCGGGTCCCAACTCAGGAAATGCTGCGGCATGGCAGGGGTGCCTGTATGAAGGGCTTTGGTAGGAAGCCACCTCCAAAGACAATGCTCAGCAGGGTCTTGGCACTGCCAGTCTGGCCCCTGGCCCTTTTGCTTAATCCAGATGCTGAAATTAAATGTTTTGAGGTAGCAACATCAACAACATCAGCTACTCGTCATTGGCTAATAACACTAAGCACCCATTAGCCACAATTGCTGAGGAAACATTAATTATGGGATGCTCAACACATCTGGTAAGCAGGTACAGCTGTTCATCCCACTTTTATGCAGGCCAGATACCACCCAGCTTGGTGCGGGGATCCAAGCACCCATCTCCAGCCCCGCTCACTGTGCACAGCTGGCTGCTTCGGTGGCAGCTGGTGGCGGGGACAAGGATGTGGTGATGGTTGTGTTGGTGGTTCTAGACACTCTGCCACTCCAACCCATCACCTTGGCCATTGCCTGGACAGTGCCAGCAGGAACTTGGTCAGATGCCTTGAGTGAGAGGAAATTATCTAAGTCAGGGGTAGTGGGGAAAGGCCCACGTGAGCCATTGCAGGGTGCAAGCTGCTGAGGCAGGGGGTAGGTGCCACGTGCCTTCCTCCAGCACTGTCAGCACAGCAGGAGATGACAAAGCAAAATGTGCCCAAAATGGGAAAAAGGAAGGAAACTCAGGGTTCACGGGATTGCATCATATCGGGCCAAGTGCAGCTTCTTCCAGCCGTGGCTCGAACATGTAGCATCAAAACTGACTTACTGCTTTGCTCCAAAGATGTGTCATCAAAAAACTGCTCTCTTCTGCCCTGCTCCAAAGGTGGAGCATCAAAAACACCTTTCAGCAAGTACTGCTGCAGTTTCACCTCCTATTGTAAGGGTAAACTTGTTTCTGTCTTAGGGGCATCTGCAATAAGCTCTTTAATGCTTGGGGTGCCCCTCAGCTCTTGGCTTTCTGAGGGATTTTAATCTTCCCTCCTTCAAGGGGTTGCTGGTACCCAGCAGTTTTCCACTGCTGCTACAGCTTGAAGGGGGTTTAGCTACTGGGGCTGGTTGTAGGATGCTTCTTTGATAACCTTTGATCTCAGGTTTTGGGGGTTAGGGCAAGGCAGGAACAGGTCATACCACCATGCCACTCACAAAGACAGGCTCCCTTTGAGCCCTGCCTTTTCAGTCTGTGAAAATAAATTCAGAAATGCAAAGGGGGTTTCGAGGACCTGCACTTGATTTTGGCCATTGCTGTCCAGAAACCACGTGTCACACCAGCCAGAGCTGCCTGGTGTTGGGGTCCCCTCTGGCACTGACTGCTTGGGACACCCCCAGAACACCCTCCCAGTGCAGGGAGCTCCACTCGGCTGAAGGCAGCCGGCTGCCTCCTGCACCGAACCCAGCCCTAACTGTGGTGCCGAACAAGTGGCCCTTGTTTTGGAGGGGAGCGCGTGACCCCAGGGATCAGAGCCTGTAGCCAGCTGGCCCTAAGGAGTTTGCAGGAGACCTTTGCCCAGGAGCGTGCCCTTAATCCCACCCCACCCCCCACCCCCCCCAGCACCTGTCAATTTAGAGCTGCAATGCTAAGAAATAAGGATATTTAGCACTATGAGAAAGGAATTTTTCCTTCAGTGGTGGCGCTGCAGGGAGGGATGACTGGAAGGTATTTAGCTGCTAAGACATCTGCATTGGCAGTGTCCAAGCAGTTTGGATTATTGATTCCTGGCTGTAGCAGAAGGTGCTGGAGGCTGCAGGACCCGGGTGCAGCTGCAGTGTCTGCCTGGAGTGCTCCCACATCTACCTCCATGCATAATCTATGAGCACCTTTGGCTGCCAGCACAGGGCAAAGCATCTTCACATTTTTGACCATAACCCTGACCCTAAGCCACCCTGGTTGCAGAGCTCCTTGGAAAACACTCAGGGGTTCACATCCAGAGAGACAGAGATGCCAACTCCCATGCTGCAGATAATTATTAACAGGGTGTTTTGCATGCAAAAGCTCAGATAGAGGGTGTGCAAACCCTCAGACTGTGTTTGCCAAGGTGCTTAAATGTGGGTTCAAGATCTTAACTCCAGGCAGGCATGTTGGAAAGTGCTGGCTGCGGCAGCAAGTGAAGCTGGAGTTTAGGAGTAAGGCGACAGTAAAGAGGTAGGAATTTAGAGCCTTATATATTCACACAGCAGCAGCTGATCCAGGGGTTGGGACTGATTCACCAAATCACCAGTGGAAGTTGGGTGGTTGCTCCCACTCCAAGGAACATTGCAATTTTAAGCCAATCCTTGGGTCACCATGGGGTGCTGAGCGTCCTCTTTCTAAGCCCACACTGCTGTCAGGACCAGAAGGCTCAATTGCCTCCGTTGTTTTGTTACATTGTAGTCGTGATTGCATAAATGATGGTCTCCTCGGGGCAGCTTCAGCTGAAAGTGAAAAGGAAATAATTAAATGGCATCTAGTGCTGGTGAAGAAAATGAGGTGGATGATGTGCTTGGATGTGGCTGAGGCACATCTCTGCTTTGTACATGGAAACCCCACCGGTGAGCCGATACCTTTCTGCCCCAAACCAGCTGGCATGGCCCTGGGGGCCACAGCAGGGATTGCTCAAGTCAGGCGACAAGGTGAGTTGGGTCCCGGTGTTCCCTATCACATCCTGGCGTGGGAGGCAATGATTTGATGCCATTGTTGCCACTTACCACCCCATCCTGTCATCTGCCAGTCACACTGCCTGCTGCCGGTGCCTGCCAGGGTTGTTGTTGTCCATCCCCAGCAATTTCAGACTACTGCAAAATAACTTGGGTGAGGCAGACATCATGAGATCCCTGCCCCGAGGGGCAAACAGGGCCAGCAGACAGGGTGAGACAGATACCCTCCTCCCCAGGGTGGGTGCAAGCATGTCCACATCCAGCTGCAGGGGAAGACAGGCAAGGGGATGTGGAAGGATGTCCAATGCTGAGCAGGGCCAGGCGCGGATAGGTGGCACAGGGGTGGCAGGAATTTGGGCAGGGCCACAGAATGCGTGGGACATGGGGATGGGTGATGACGAGTTTGGCAGCAGCCCAGTAAGGCAAGATGGTGTATAAGTAAAATCTAGTGAAGACACCAGGGCAGCTTGCAGGCTTGAAGACCATAAGCATTTCGCTACATAAAGGCTTTTTTTTATGTAATAGCTAGGGCAAAGTGGGGAAGAGCAAGATCTGATAGAGAAGGTCCATTGGGGTGAAAGCACCCCATGCTCAAAAGCTGCTGCAAACAGCTTTGATGGAGATGGAGCCATATTCAGGGCTCCTGACCATCATGCCACCCAGCCATGCCACCCAACCGCTGAAAAGTCACCATCACCCACCACTGGGATCAGGGTTTGCAGCATGAGAGGTACCAAGGGAACAATTACCACCCAGTCTAAGCCTTTTGCAACTCCACTTAGTGTCTCCCCAAGATCGCTTCAGCCCATGCTAGCATGCGAAAAATGTTTAAGCAGGCAGCTGGCCAGCCCTGCCTCCAAACCAGCTCAGACAGTCCTAGTTCAATCCAGCTGGCACTGATGGATGGGGAATTTCCACTGCCCATGATGCCCAGGACATCTCGCACAGTGCCCACAGCACTGCAACATGGTGGCCAGGGCCTGGATGAGTCCCTTTGCATGCTCAGTGTAACTCCTCTCCTGCTCCTAGGTGTCCCATCAGCTGGAACTGCTTCTAAAGCACCCTCAGGTTGGGTTTTGCAGGTATCACCCACTAAAAGGGTGTAATTTGGGACATGCCAGTGCCACTGGAAAATGTTCTCACCTTGTGAATTGTACATCACTTTAGGAAACGACATTGGGAGTGGGTGAGGTCCTGGCACTGTGCTGGGAAAAATTTACCACTGCTTTGCTCGAGGGCTCCAGTCTGGTGAATCAGGCTCTAATTCTGCCAGTTAGGTGCATTCAGCAGCTTTATGCTGCATGGGGATGAGACCTTGAGTTGGAGTCATGGTGTTTGCAACCAGACCTGCCCAGGCTTGTGCACCTGTAGGCTCTGCTTGGCTCAGACCAAGCAGAATAGTCTTTTTCTGTCCTTTAGTAATGAGATGCAAAATCCCAAACCTTTCTGTATTTGAAAAACTCACACAGCTTTGTGTTTGACGCCTCTTGGACATAAAATACCAGACATTTCTGAACTGAAGCTTTCTTTGCCCTTTTGTCATTGCGGTTCGGGGCATTGGCTACCACTGTGATAAATAATAAATTTTTAAAAAATCATGGAAAACGTGAAGGCAAACACATGGCCATATGTAAGGAGAAAGAGGCTTGCCAGAGTGCTGCCAGACTGCAGACAGGGGAGCAGCGAGAGCTTTGAAACCAAGCAGCATCAGGTCCCTGCCCCAGTGGCAAAGGGCAGGTGGGACTCCAGTCTCCCAGGGTTGGGGCTGGGTTGCTCCTCCCTATGGGAGCCACTGGGGCTGAGTCATTCGACCTCCCCTTGGGAATCCTCTCCAGCAGGGACAGAGGTTGCAAAAGTGTGGCCCGCTCCCAGGGGTGCGTCACCCCACGCCTACTGCCATGACTGCCCGGAACAGCACTCCAGCTCACCTCGCGGAGCCGGGGGGATGAGGGGAGCCGGGCAGCCAAACCAGCAAGTAAAGGGGTTCATCCACAAATCAGAAAATAGGAGCAAGGAGGGACAGACCCCTTGGCCACCTCTCGCAGATCTCTGCCTGCTCCAGGCACCCCAGCACGGCACTCTGGGTCCTGCTCCGCAAACAAGGGAAAATGTGTAAAACCTCCAAGCCCAGGCTCATGCCAGTCTATCTTTTGACGATAAACAGTGCAACTCTCACAGTCCCAGCCTATAAATACCCAGATGTGCACTTAGCTCCTGGTCAAACACCCCTGCTGTGCCTCTCAAGACCTTGACATCAGGGCAAACATCCCACAGAGGTGCTGAGGGAGCCTGAATCCTAGCTCCTTGCTGGAGCCACTGCTCCATGGTCCTGCACACAGGCACATCGGTGTCAGCTCCGAAACCACTGGTGCCAAGGGCTGGTACCAAATTAAACACTATGGGGATAAGCCTCCTGGTCCCTTCCCATCTTGCGAGCACCCAGAAGAGGATCAGTATTGTAACATTCCCTGATGCAATCCTGTCCTCCTTTTCACTGGTGTCTGGGCTCACCAGTGCAATGGACATGTAAGTCAGAGCAGCATGTCTAAAAGCAGCAAACCTCTTGCATTGATATGAGAGCAGCTCTGGATGCAGGCACAAGACCTGTTACCATGAAGCCCAAGCAAAGGCTTGCCCTTAATCCCTTGGAGCTTAAAAGCCAGGCACAGACTGGGTCCAGTCTGCTTGACCCTGCCGAAAAGCTTTTCTCCGCACTACATGGTGGTATGGGGCTAGCATGGTGTGCTGTTTTCACCAGCCCATCCCTGCATGCTGGAGCCTGCTCCGTAGCCACGGAATGCTGGGGGAGACTGGCTGGACTGGAAACACTCCTGGAGGAGCTGCCACAGGTGCCTCAGCCCAGAGGCCAGGTGTTTGTTGCCCAGCCAGCTGCTGTTTCCTGACCACATCAATGAGAAGGGAGGAGGGCTGGTACCTCATGGGCTCCAGAAGAGCCTGAAAAGGTGCAGAGGAGCCCCAAGCCTGGCGTCAGGGCTATCCTTTTCGTCTGCAAAGCACATTTGCAAGGGGGTTCCGAGCCCTTGCGAAGGATGGGTTTGCTTGGGTGGGACCACAGTTGGGTTAGTTTATGCCTGACCCACTCCTGCCTGCCAACACTCAGCACTGGGGCTGCCTGTACCCAGGGGAACAAGAGGAGGATACACCTGAGCTGAAGCCTGTGGCAGCAGTGAAGCCTCTGGGGTCAGGCTACAGATGCTGGGGAGCAGTCACTGCTTGGCCTCTAGCCCAAGAAGAACCACACAGGGTTTTGCTGAGTCACGCAGCGCCGTGGGGCCAGGGTTTTGCTGACTCAGGGTCAGTGGCATTTGAGCTGACCACGTGCCCGCAGGGGCAGGAGGGAAGCGGGGGCTGGCCGAAGTAACAGGACCCGTCAGGCTCACTCAATGCCTCCAGCCTTCGCTTCTGAAAACCTCATTCCGTTACGTGCCATGTCCCATGGGGAAGCTGCGTGTTTCCTGATATCCCTGGCTTGACCAAGGCATTTGGTGAGCTAGTGAGAGGAGATGCAGCCTAGGTCAGAAGTACCCCCTACAAACACTCAGCACAGACTGCAGTCAGGGGGTGGCTGGCACAGACCTGGGGCAGCGGGATGCTGCATGAGGCCACAGGAGGATGGAAGAGGCTCAGGGAAGGAGGGCACAAGCTAGGTGCCAGTGACATGACCCAGCAATTTTCCAGAACTTTTATGAAGGAGGCAGGCAAGGGACAGGGATCCTACCATGAAGCCATGGGTACTCCACTTCAGCAGTGCCCATCTCATCCCAGGGGCTGCTGCTCTCTCATCCTGAAGCACCAGCAGCAGCAAACCAACACCCCTGCCTCTCAGGACTTGGAAGCCAAAGTGCCCGTGAATCTGATTTTATTTCATTTTTCTTTTTCTCTAGCTGGTCTTGTGGCTCTGCAAGAGCTTGGTCAGGAAGAACTGGGCAAAGATTAGCTCTGTCCGCTGCCTCCCAAGCCAGCAGGGTGGTACCTTTGAGCCCTGCCTTGACACCCCAGTGATGGCAAAGAGCCCACCCTGGTGCTCCCTGATGCTGGAATCTGGCCTGGCACCTGTCTGGCACCTCCCAAACAAGGTTATACCCATTTCCTTCAAAGTACCCCAGACTAAAGGGATGATTCCCACCAAACTGGGGGTCAGGGCAAAGCATGGACATGGGGAGCTGACACAGCCCCTTGGCCAAGGGGTACAGACATCCTTGTGAGCCTGGCGGCATGTCACCACTGGTGACCACAGGAAAGGTGCCTGAAGTCCACGGGCTTCTATGGGGCTGAGCCACCACCATGCCAGGCTGGCGGGGGAATCCTGGCTGCGGGTGCCCCCCACCTCCAGGGAAGAGGAGAAAAGCCATAAAACACGTAAAGAAGATAACAAAATAATCCTAACGAAATGTGCCGGCAAAAAAAGAAGTTAAAGACGCGACAGAGGGTAGCACACGGCACCTCGTGATGCGTTTGTAGCTGTTTATTCCCCTTTTCCCGGAGGCTGAGTCACGGGCCCAGTGCCGGGGGTCAGGCCTGGGGACCGGGAAAAGGGGGAAGGGCACACACGCCGTGAGGCGGGTACCCCCGCCCCGGCCCGCCCTCACGTGACGCTGCCGGTTGCAATTTTATCCCGTCAGCTGACTGGGAGCGATCCCCGGAGAGGGGCCGCCGCTCCTACAAAAACAGGGAAGGCGGGCGGCAAGGGCCGCGTGTGGCCTCTCGTCCGCGGCTCCCTCTGCGTCCCACAGACACCGCAGCGCCAGCATGGCGCCCCGCAGCCTCCTCCTCCTGCTGCTGCTCACGCTGGCCGGGCCCTGCGCGGCCCTCATCAGGTGAGCCGGGGGGGTCCCATAGGGACCGGGTGGGGACATGGGGCATGCAGCCCAAGTGCTGATGCAGTGGTGGCCTCTGGGCTCCTCTCGCAGGCACCCCCACGCAGGGCTGCTCCGCCACCATCAAAGCAGAGGAGAGAAGCGCTGGAACCCCCCACAGATGAGGATTCAGGGCTGATGGAAGGGGCTTGCCCCAATTTTTCCTATTCCCGGTGAACCTTGGTAGTCACCTGCTGCCCTTCCTTTCCCTCTCCCCTTTACTACCCCCACCCCCCCCCCCCCCCCTCCCCGAACCCCCCCAACCTCTGGCTTTGGGAAAAGCACGGAGCACAGCAAGGAGGATCCAACATGGAGTGCCGACAGGAGCCCACACGTGATCTAGCCCATGCTGGTAGTCCCCCTGGTTTTGGTGGAGCTGTGCTGCTCCCCTCTCCAGAAGCCCCCCACCCCCATTAATAATGCCCTCCCCTCACAGGATCCCTCTGACCAAGTTCCCTTCCATGCGGCGGGTCCTGAACGAGGTGAACAGTGAGATCCCGGACATGAATGCTCTGACCCAGCTCCTCAAGTTCAAGCTTGGCTTCAGTGAGGTGGCTGAGCCCACTCCAGAGATCCTGAAGAACTACATGGATGTGAGTAGCACTCCTCTGCCCACCACCCCTCCACTGCAGCAGACCCCAGCATGATGGCAGCCAGGAGGCTGTCACTTCTGGGGGTACCCATCCCAAGGGGATGGTGGGGAATGCCAGCCGTGGCATCCCACCACAGCTGGGAAAGTGAAGGAGAGAGAGGTGTTAATCCCATAGGACAGATTCATGCACCCCCACGGCTCAGTGGGTGGTTGCAGAAAGTTGCTTCCGTAATTGCTAAACTAAAAATTCTAATACTGATAATTATAATAATAACAAACAATCTACTGCCACCCAAGTGGGAGTTTTGCAGCTTCTGTGACCTATTTCTTTTCCCTTTTGTCACTATTTAATTATTGTAAATAGGGGTCTGATTGCTTGCTGTCCTTCCTAGCATCTTCTGGCCTGTTTAGGCTCCACTTTCTGCAAGTTGGGGGGCATAAAGATCATGCTCCACTCATTGAGGAGTTGAATATAAAAGAGCAAGCATGGGGCAGGAAAAGATAGCTCAGAAAGGGCATCAGATTGCTTGTGAGTCTGTGAGTCTGACCCTTCCTCCTGCTATCCTTCATCTTCTGCATGGCCTTGGGAAAACCCACCCTGCACCTCCACCTTCTTCTTAGCAGCTTAGGGAGCAAAGGGACCTTCGTGGTGGAAATGGAGATGAAAGGAGAAGCCACATAAAGGACATGAGGTTTGCCCTTCCCCAGCTGCCAGATACATGTGGTGTTTCTTGTTTCTGGGCTCTCCACTGGGTACCCTCACAGCTCTTGGGATGGTGGGGAAGTGCACACTGGCCAGCAGAATAAAGCTGCCGCTGCCTATTTGGACATTAATTCAGAAAGTTTCCCCCTCCTCCCTTTTTCCCAGGGGCTCTTGATACCCAGCCAACACGGCCCTGCCAGGGCTGGGCAGGGAAGGGCTGCCGGTGTTTTAATCGGTGGTGTCGAAAGCCAGGGTGCCAGCAGTTGCACCATGGCCTTGTCTCTTGCGACCACAGCTCAGGCTGCCCTCAGGGAAGGACTCTGCTCCATTGGCGCAGGGGGGAACAGCCCAGCCTGTGGTGGGAGATAAGGGACTGCTGCATCCCTCCTGGCCTGGCTGAAAACTCTAGCTGCCTGAGGGGCTGTTGGGATGAAAGGTGCCACCTCCCTTAGTCTGTCCCACACGGTCCAACCAGCCCCTGGGACCCCTCATGGGTCTGTATATGTGATGTATACAGACTGGGGGTTAATTTTCAAGGCCCAGCAACAACTACAGAATCACTGGAAGCAAGTGCTGCCTCCCCATTATGGCTAATTGTAATGGATTAGTAATTACTCAGTGAGCAGCCCTTGCAAACTAAGCGCGCAGGAGCTTTGATAATCCTGTTTTCTCCCAACTTCCCTTCCCCTAATTAAGTACATGTGGAGGCTTTGAAAGGCTACAGTCTGACTTCCTTTGCTACAGCCTTCTCTCCAGACCCTGATCTGGCTGCTCACTGGGCATTTCACAGCCCTCTGACCTTTTGGGAGGGCTGGGGAAAAATGGGTCCATCCAGGACCTGCTGAGCATTCCCCAGTCATCCTCCCAAACTCTCACCCAACAGCCTTAAATCCCTCTCTGGCAGTGCTCCATCCAGTTCCTCCTAAGTCTACCAAAACCTGCAACTGAGCATTTGTTTATTCCTTCCCATCCCAGGGACTTGCCAACATGTACCAAAAGCTTTGGCAGCTGTACCTCCACCCATGGCAGCAGAGCTGCTGCAAGGCTGCAGTTCCTCTGCAAACTTACTAGTGAAGCAGCTTCCCAGACAGTTTCAGCTTTTCAGTAACACAGGTGTTTTGCTTGGCTTCTTCCCATCTTTTTTTTTCTTCCGTATACTGAGCCACATGCAAGCCTGCAGACCTTTCCAGTTCTTTTCTGCCCTGTGTCCCTGCCCCAAAAGTCCTCCTCCGCAAACACCCATCCCACTTCTCCTCCCCAGTTTATCCTTTTCACACCTGCTGTAATGTGGTATGAACACTGAAGGGGATCATCCCTTCCAAAAAACAAAGACTGGGTGCCCACCACAGTCTAAAACAAGAGGAAGGCAGTGTCCAGATAAGAAGCTGATGTCAATCCCAAGAGATTTTTTAGTCTTTAATCCCTTCTTTTACCAGCTGCCTCCACTCATGGCTCCCTTCTCCTCCTCTGCAGGCCCAGTATTATGGTGAGATCGGCATCGGAACCCCACCACAAAAGTTCACTGTGGTCTTTGACACTGGCTCCTCCAACCTCTGGGTGCCATCTGTGCACTGTCACCTGCTGGACATCGCCTGTTGTAAGTGTCACCGGTGCCAGCCACAGCTCAGTATCTTCCCCTTCCCTACAAAATGCAGATCCTGGCATTGCAAGCGCAGAAACTCAGGCAGTAGTGTGAAAGGGCTTGCCAAAAGCCGACGGACTCTTTAGGGTCAGAGTTGGAATTAGAATTGCATCCATCCTTCATTACTCCCTTCCTGTTTTTTCCACTCCAAGTCGCCCACACACAGCTTCAGACATTCCCTAACAGCCTCAGCCCTGCAGCTGGGGAGCAGCATCGTAGGTTGTGATGTTTCTCCCCAAATTACAGACTGATGCTGCTGTCGCCCCATTGTGCAAGGCTGGTGAAAAAAATCAGCCACTTGCCAGATCTGATACAAACCACCCTAGTTTCTGGTCTGTTACTGCAAGGAGCATGTGCGTGCATGTTTATGGTTTTATAATTAATGAGAGCCAGGTAGGCACAGTGAGATGAGAATGTCTTGGGGACTACAAGGTTTTTTGCTCGTGGCATTCCTATGTAATACACTTCCACAGCCAAAGGTGTCAAACCCAGTGATGGCAAAATGCCATTTAAAAGTACTGGCTGTGCTGCTTAAGCAGAGCAGAGAAACCTGTGGAGCCAACAAATGCAACCATGGGAGGTGGCCCAAAGTGCTCATTGGGAGTAGGAGGAAATTTGGGCTTCTTGTATGGTCCTGTGTTGCCCAGAGAGAAGGCAGACCTTCTTTTTGCATATGTGAATGAGATTTAGGACATTGGTAGGGTGGTGAGGTCCAGACTTGGTCTCTCTTGGATGTTCCTGATCTGTAGCAGGGGGCGGGTTTCTCAAGGCAGTGGCGCAGGAGGTGCTGGGATCAAAGGGTATGCAATCACAAGTATGCAATGAGCCCAGCCTCCTGCCAGGCTGGCATCCAGACAGCCCAGCCATGGAAGTCCCTGTATAGCGTGTTGGTTTCTGCAGGGCTCAGCTGGTCTGTCCCCATCTGCTGTCTGCCCCACTCAGCAAGCAGCCATGGAGCTGGGCTGGCCAAGCTTGCTACACACCACTGCCCAACTCCTGACTCAGGAGGAATCTGTGGAGGAGGAATCTACCTAGCTGTAAAAACAGGGGTATCTTACAGTTCCCAACCTTTCCAAGGGGAAAGCAGCCTACATTGAGGGAAAGTCCTTTTCCTTTGCAAATAAAAAAAATATTTTGAGGCCTCTCTGTGCAAAAAACAATGACCATATAAAAAAAAATCCAGCCAGTCTTAGTAAAAGAAACATAGAAATCCACAAGTGAAAATGTTCATGCCCAGAGCAGGCTATGTTTAAAGCCATTCTGGTTCTCTATGGCACAGGGGGATGCATTTTGCTCTGCTGTCTTAACACACCCTGAAACACCAGCCATGTAGTCTCTAGGCTTTTAATACCCAGTGGCAAAATCCGATTTAACAGCCAAATTGGATCTGCTCACGTAATTCCCCAGACGTTGGAAACGCTTTGTTAAGGAATCTGGCCTTGGCAAATGCTGGGTTCAGTCCTGTCTTCACATCATTGAGTGTCTGTCCAGATCAGCTGGGTGGTGTGGGGTTAGGTGTTGGCAAACCCTAGGTATCAAGGAGCACTAACGTTTTATGTCCCCGTGTTCTCCTCCCTGGTTGCAGTGCTGCACCACAAGTACGATGCCTCTAAATCCAGCACCTATGTGGAGAACGGCACCGAGTTTGCCATCCACTATGGGACAGGGAGCCTCTCTGGGTTCCTCAGCCAGGACACTGTCACGGTGAGTAACAACTGCCTTTGCCCTGAGCTGCCCAATCCTACTTTTGTAAGACCACTAGAAGCTGTTTGATTTAAATGGGCCTCCCTTCTTGAGTGTCCTACTCATATAGAGTGTGCTTTAGCACAGTGTTTCCAAGCGCTTTGAAGAGAGGTCGTGATGCAAACAAGGTGGTGATGATGACTGAGGAAGTGACAATGACTAAAGCAAGCAGAGAAGGGGGAAGGTATTAATCAGCAGGTCAGCAGAGTGTGGACCACATGCATTGTTGCCTGCAAACACTGTCTCTGGCCATCTCTCCAACCCTCTTCCTCCTTACCCTGGAAATTTCCCAGCCCAAATGCACACCAGCACCACCACAGGTGGCTGGTGGCGCACAGCTTGTTCTTGGCCAATATCAATGCGGTAGTGGGCATCCACTCAGGCAGCTGCCGAAACACTGGCCACAAATGGGCTCTTTTCAATCCCATCCTGGTCTCATGTCCAGAACTGGTGCTTATGTTTGCAAAGGCTGTGTAATACCTTGGAGGATGGGTCACCAGCAGCATTCAGGATGCAGCTTTGGGGTAGTCATGTTGCTGGTGGTTGCTTCTCATCGCTTCCTATTCAGCAAGCAAAGGCTGAGTTTCCTGCGAAGGGCAGGCACCTTTCATGACTGCTTCACAGGTACAGTTGCTCATGAGAGCTTGCCAGCTGCCAAGCATCAGTGACATGTGCTCCCAGATCACTTGGTCTCCTGGCAGGGATAAGAGCATGTGTTTGCTTTGTGGCAGGGAAACAAAGCAAAAGTTTTGAATAAGCGCATAAATCTAGGGATTTGTGGTTTTCTGTGTTAGGTTCAGCTGAAAAGTACTGGATTATCAATTATATTGGGATCAGAAGAAAAATATCCAAGAGGAGCCCAAATTGGGTGGCTCACGCAAGGAGCACTCTTCTGCCTGTCCTTATAGCATGAAAATTTCAGGCTAGCCTGGAAGCACCAGCCATTGCCTCTGCACTGCAAAGAGGCCGGCAGCTCATTCTGGGTGCGGGACCCTGTTTTGGGGGAGAGGAGTTTTGATGGGCTTAGTATACCCTGAAAATGGGTGCAGACAAGGCTGTGGGGGAGAGCAACAGGTCTCCCCCAGCAGCTTTGCACCTCTGGTTTTGCCTTCTGCAGCCTATGAAGCTTTGGATTTTCAGGTTTGTTTCATGCCATTTATTTCCTGCGTCCCTCAGCTTGCTTATAAACACCCCACCGCAAAAAGGCCACCCAACTGAGCCTTCCCACAGCTCTCACTGCATGAAGGCACCATGTATGTAGCATTAATGGATTCTCTTACATTAGGTAGGCAAAATGCAGAGCAGGTGGAGGCATCTGTATTCATCCCAGTAATGGAGCAGGACAGCAACTCAAACAGTGAACTTGATTGTGCTGTGAAAGTGTGGGCTGGTTTAGGCACTTTCTGGCTTAATGCAGGGGCTGAAAGTGAGTCAGAAGGAAAATCACAGCTTTTTTTTTGTTTGTTTGTAATTATCACCCTAATGCCTGCTTGCTAGCTGGCTCTCCACTTCCCCATGGCTCAGAGAAAGGAGTTTGTGCCTGAGCTTGTTCAGGAAGCAGGGATGGCTCTTGGTAGCCAGCACAGCTTGTAGCATTTGGTTTCTGCCTGGGCAGAAGCAAGAGAAACCTCTTGCATGGAGCCTGTGCAGGACACAGAGCAGGGATGACTCAGAGGATCAGGGACCTTCAGCTTGGACACCAGGATGTTTCCTCTGCTGTACATTATCCTATAGGCAACCTCCCAGTTGGTTGTAGTCTGGAAATACAGACATTGAAACAGCCTTCAGGGTGACCCTCTTGGCTCCAGCCATCCCAAAGAGTGGAAGCAGCCACAGCAGCCTGTGGTAGCAGTGACATCTGACCAAAAGATGCTGTTTGCCAGGTGGTCCAGAGTCCCTCAGCCCTGAAATTTTTTTGGAGAGGGTGACAAGCTCAAGCATCCTTTCTCCTTCTGTAGAGGAATGATGCCCTGCAGCACTACGCTCCCTGCTGCTGCTCATTCTTCAAAGACCAGCAGGTTCAACCAGCCCTCTGCTGCTAGAGTATCTCTTCCCTTTAGCACAGCCTGATCTTGGGATGTCCTTCAAGGTCAGTAGAGGAAAGGTCACTGGCCATGGGGCCAAGGTCTCTTCCAGGGCTGCAGTGCAGATACACCCGACAGGAAGTGGCCCTCTTCACCTCTCCCCTGTGCCTCTGCAGAGGGGACCCTCAAGCCCTGCTACCAAACTGTGCCGTGGAGGCTCTCGCCTTTAGTCTGCTTTTACCATCCAGTGCTTGCCTGCTTGGCTGAGAGTGCTAACAAGGAGGCCAGGTGAACTGCAGCGTGCTGACTCCTGCCTGCAGAGAGCAGAGGAGTGGCCGCTACACAGCCATCCACTGGTCATGATTTTTGTTTGCTCTTTGTCTAGTGAGGGGCAAACACAAAGGATCTGTCTGCTTGCACTAGCACTCTGCTAGAGGTGCTCTTGGGGTTTGGTCCTGCTGAGGTCCAAGCGTGGGCAGAGTCTGCAGTGGTGGCATCTGCAGAGTGGCACCCCAACCACTGGGCAGGTACCTGCCTTCCTCTTGGGATGTGCAACCAGGGTAATACTCAGACAAACCTGGTGCTCAGTTTTATCAGTCCATTGCACTTTAATTTTTTTAAGTGGAAGCTTTATTGGACTTCCTGAGCTGCAGCAGGACCAGTGGTGCTGCATGGTGGAGTTGTGGCTTTTGTAAACCTGTGGCATACAAGTGGGGTACTTGCCACATGCACAGTGTTGAGCAGATACATTGCTCTAAGCTGTTTTACCCCACATCCTGCTCTGTGGCTTTTAGCTTTTGCAAGGCTCGATCATCTTTTCCTAGCACAAGCCTCCAGATACCATTAAAGCCAGCATCCCAGCCTTGCACTGTCTAACCCTGGGGGGATATTAGTAATTTACAGTGATCATTATCTGCCATCAGGTAGGAGACACCAGCTTTTCAATCCAGCCCTGTTCGCTACAGTGCTGCTAGCTGCAGGCTGGGAGACTGAAATTGTGCAGATGATAACACTGCCTGTGGTCAGCCAGAAGCTCAGAAACCTTCTGAACTGCTATAGCCAGGACCCAGCTCCTGCTCCCTGTCAGCCCAGCTATCCTGCTTTCTGCGATCTCCTTTCTGGGGATCTGCCCTTCTGAGGCATTTCAGCTTTCAGCATGGAACACCAGTCCCTCTCATGGCTGGCAAGAGAGGTGACCTTTGCATCCACAGTACTCCACTTGCTATTTTAGTGCTCTCGGCTCAACCTTGCTTTCCCAGCTGGGTCTTCTCCCCTCCTATAGGAGGTCTCTGCAGGCTGGTGGCTCTTCTGGGAGATGCAGCAATATCCTGGGGATGTTTCTTATGTAGGGGAGATCACAGGGGTTGTTGGCAGAGATGAGAAGGATTTGCACTCCCAGCTGGGAATGGGTGCAACACCCGAGGAGGTAGGGCGCAGAGATGACTTTGAAAATGTTGAGGATTAAAGGCACAGCACAAGAGGATGTAGGGGGGACAAAATGATATAGGTCCCTCTGTGCAAAGAGGAGGAGCTGAAAGATGGCATGGCTAGTGCCTGAACCCAGCTAAAGGCTGAAAGGGCTGAGTGAAGCAGGCAGAGGAGAGGGAGGCTCCAGTCCTTAGGGGGTATGCTGGGCTTTGCAGGAATGCAGAAGGTGCCATTGTGCAGCCAGAGTGGCCTGTGTCCTGCCCTCCACACCCCTCCCACCTCTCCCCGCAAGGAGAGTGCCACCAGGGTATCTGATTTCTGCAGCTGCCTACAAATGGAAGGGTAAAAGCAGGCAGGAGTGTGGCAGTGCATTGAGGGACACACTATAGCCTGCGTTCAGTGAGATCCCATTTCCGCCCTGGTCCCCCGAGTCAGTTTTCTTTATAATCTGCTTTTCCCTTCCTTCCCTATCTCCCCTCAGCTTGGCAACTTGAAAATCAAGAACCAGATCTTTGGAGAAGCTGTGAAACAGCCAGGCATCACATTCATTGCAGCCAAGTTTGACGGAATCCTGGGCATGGCATTCCCAAGGATCTCTGTGGACAAGGTCACCCCTTTCTTCGATAACATCATGGAACAGAAGCTGATTGAGAAAAACATCTTCTCTTTCTACCTAAACAGGTAGTGTTTGGTTTGGTGGCAGACCTATCATTTCGAGGGCAAGCCAAGATGGGCATTTTTCTGTGTCTCCTGGTAGCACCTCTTGCCATGTGCCAATTCACACCCTGGCCAGCACCACAGGGGAGATTCCAGTAAGGTCTCCATGCTAGAGCAGTCAGGCCAAAATCTCTTCTGCTGTCTGCTTTGAAACAAAAAGGGAAGTAGAAGTTTACTGATAAAAAGCTGGGTAGATCTGCTACTGGATCTCTTAACTGATGAAGAGACAGGGGCTGTTTTCAGAGGAAAGGGAAATGAAAATAAGCAGGGTTGTGATCAAGAGATTGCATGCTGCTAGTGCAGTCCCCGTTAGCCCCAGTCTGTTGTCAAAATCCATGACACACATGGCCACCGCAGTGTCACCTCCCAGGCAAGCATGCCCCACACCAGTCATCACTAATGATGGGGCTAACACTCTCTCACCTACAGGGAGATCATCCTTTGTGCCTCCCAGTGCCTTCCCGCCCACTGCTGCTCCCCCAGGACACCACATAACCCTCCTGGCACCACAGGGGGGCTCTGAAGTACTTCAGCCCAAAAAGTAGCACACCAGGAGCAGGGACAGCAGAGAGGCTGCTCTGACCTGTTCAAAGCCAGCCCTCCCCCATCACCATATTTCTTCCCATCTGCTTGGCAGTGAGCTTTTATCTGACAGTAACCTTGAGGATTCATTTCTGAGGCTCCTGGCTGGCACGGAGTTGAGTGAAGATAACCTAATGCTGTATCAGCCATGTCCAGCCCTGGCACGGGTGCTTGTTACAAGCTGATTATTTGAGGGGTCCCTTGTGTCAGTGCTCAGTTCCCATTTGCCATTCCCCTTCTCTGTCCTACTTCTCTACAGCAAGTTTCTGCAGGTGTCTGTGAGAAAGCATTAGGCAAAAAGCTGCAGGATGCTTTGGGTAAAAAAAATCCCATTTCCTCACCCCAGCCTATCTCACAGTATCCGTCCTTATATTGACGTATAATAATGCAATGTAAATCATCTGTCTCCAATGCTGCTAACACTGTGCTTCGCCACTAAGCACCTGGGCATGTAGTCTGGGGGCATGCAGAGGGGGTTGTTCCCACCCTGACCCTCATGTTCACAGGTTTGGTTGTTTTATTTTTCAGAGATCCTGCTGCTCAGCCTGGTGGCGAGCTGCTCCTGGGGGGCACCGACCCCAAGTATTACAGTGGCGACTTCAGCTGGGTCAATGTCACACGCAAGGCTTACTGGCAGGTCCACATGGATGCGTAAGTCCCTCCTCCACCTGGCTACATGCGTGAGGACATGTGCAGAAAGCTCACACTTGGGGTTGGGCTGAGGCCCTCCCCAAAAAGGAATCATCTCTATCCCTGAAACACATCCACACCAAAAAACAGATTAAAATCCCACCCTAAAGCTGTTGCTGGAAGGGGAGAAGAGGCAGAAAACACCAGGAGATGTTCTGCAAAATCTTTCCCTCTTGTTGATCTTTGACCCTTGAAAATGCCTGCTGCATCCTTGCAAAGCAGGAATAAAACACTGGCATGTCATCCTTGCAGTCAGGATGAGCCCCACGGATTAAATCCCAGTTTTCCTTAGCTTTCAGCAAGGCCTGATCTATAGGCTCACTTGCACGCTCTGGAGAAGCAGGATGAGGCCTCAGGAAGCCAGCCCTTGACTGAAGGGCATGGCGCGGCAATCAGTGTGCATTGTTGGAGGCAGAGGGGAGGAGAGCGGGCTGATCTGCTGGCCAGCAGCCCCACGGTCTATTCTGAGCTCTCTCACGTGATAGGAACTTAAAAGCAGCCTGTGATCAGAGTGTGTCTTTCTCCCAGGGACTGCATCCCACCCCAGCACGGGGTTTGAGTTCTCATCTTCCCCCAGCCCTGCCTCGTTGGCAAAGCCTGGCAGACATTTGGCTGGAAGGTTTTATCCATCTGCACTGCTGCGAAACACGATGCAGGAGAGGAAGCCAAGTAGCTCCTGTCTTGCCTCTTTGACATACAGGAACCCTTCCCTTGCCTGTGACCCACTCAGCTGTCACACCACCCCTTTAACCCTTTGCTTTTTGCAGTAGCACAGGTAATACAATTCCCTAATGCATTGCCCTGAGCTCACTCATGTGCCCATTATCTGTGATGCTCGCTCTGGAGCGGAGGTGGCAGGCAGGATACAGAGGCAGCAGTCCAGGCTCTCTGCAGAAGTGCAGTAACACCTTAAGGCACCTGCTCAGTTGGGAGCAGGCAGGGGGAAGCTAGGGGTTCTGTGCACTAAGTTGGTGCTGCATCAGTATTTCTGAGCATCTGTCCTTCCTGGGCATCTGTGGCAGCCCTCCACTCCATGCCTACATACTGCCTAGATTCAATCATCTTCAACTCTTTGCCTTCTGCTTCCCACAGCCTTTTTTGGGATGACTCTTAACAGTTGTCTTCTGTCTGGGCACCTCTCCCCAGGGTGGATGTTGCCAATGGGCTGACCCTGTGCAAAGGGGGCTGCGAGGCCATCGTGGACACAGGAACTTCACTCATCACTGGCCCCACTAAGGAAGTGAAGGAGCTGCAGACAGCCATTGGTGCAAAACCACTCATCAAAGGCCAGGTGAGGTCAGGCTGGGAAAGTGGGAGTCCATGGTCATTATGTCATCCACACTGCTTTGCACCCAGATCCTTCTACAGACCCTGGTCTTCTACTCCCTCTGCTTGCCGTTCCCAGCCTGTGCTCATACAAAAGCCCCTGGCATAGCAGGAACCCCTCTGTCTTTTGAGCCCATGTAGTGTTCACCTTCCTGCCCATGCTGTCAGAGTGCCAGGTTCCATGAACTTTGGAAGGCTTTGGGTCACCTCTGCCACCCATCCCTGGCAGGCAGGGGACAATGGGTCTAAGTTGCAGCTGAGGTGAAGGATTTCTGTTAATGTGAGTCCAAAGGCACTTTATTTAATGCAAATGACAACCCTTCCCTGCCAAGTTTTTAACCATCGCAGCTAATCTCACAAGGTCATCTCTCCTCCTTGAAACAGGGATTCAGGGTGCCTCTAGGAAAGATTCTGTTCTCCAAAACCCTTCCCAAATCACAGAGCCATGAGCACTTGTAGGTCTTTTCTGCAGTGTTGCTTCATGCTGCAGCAAGTTAGACCTGCAAGATTTGCCAGTGTTAATTAAACTGGCTTTGTCTGTTTATCACACCCTGTCTATGTCTCTAGGCTGTATTGAGCCGTGTCTCTGCCTTCTGTGGCAAGACCCCCAGCCTTGCCGCATCGGATGCTAAGCCCTGGTGCTCAGCAGAGCCAAAAGCTGAACCTTTGGCTCCATCTCTGTCCCTAAAACCTTCTGACCCCTCAGCTTGCAGCCCTGGGCAGGGAGCAGCCTGCTTACCCCATCTCAAGCCTCTTCTGCATGATGAGCTGGTTTTGGGGGAAACCTACAGCAAAGATGTGATTGTGTCTGAGGAAGACCTTTCCTGAGGGTGTGGGAGCTGCCATCTAAAGCCTTTACTGTTACTATTTCAGTATGTGATTCCCTGTGATAAAGTGTCATCTCTGCCTGTCATCACACTAACGCTAGGAGGGAAGCCCTACCAGCTCACTGGAGAGCAGTATGTCTTCAAGGTATGTCCAGGCAGCTTTTTCCAGCCCTGTGCTTCTCCTCTAAGGCCTAACTTTTGCCTCCACTCAATCATCAACCATGAAATCTAAAACACAAGAGCAGCGACTTGTGGAAAAAGTCTGAAATGTTGGGGTGGTGGCACTGCTGATGGAGCCAGGCAACCTCACCAAAGTCCTGCAGGAATGAGATCCCTGCGTGATGCTCATGAGGGATGGGAGGATGGGAGAGGGAGGGTAGGCAAACTGTTGCATCACTTTCTATAAATATTTTGCTCTTTCTTGTTGGATTCTGGTGCCATGAAGCTTATCGTAGCAGAGGCCACCAGCCTGGCATTTAAGCCATCAGAATCAACTTGTGCAGAATTTCAGTGATGGCTCTAATTCAGCATTGCATAGGCTGGGAAGTTTATGGGCACATGCAGGTTTATCTGATGCTTTGCTGCAATAAGCACTGTGGGAGGGGGAGCTGGGTTTGGAGCCAAGAGAACAGTGGTTTGGGAGTTACTTTCACAACAAGCACTCTATCTCAAGCTGGGAGAGGCTGAAGCACAGCCAGCGTTGTCAGGTGTTACTGCTAAGACTGCGAGGGCAAGGGAAATGGAGGACCAAGGGAGACTGAAGCTTTCAACCTTCTGTCTAGGTTTCTGTACAAGGAGAGACCATCTGCCTGAGCGGCTTTTCAGGCCTGGACGTCCCACCCCCTGGGGGCCCACTCTGGATCCTGGGAGATGTCTTCATCGGTCCCTACTACACTGTATTTGACCGTGATAATGACTCTGTTGGCTTTGCCAAATGTGCCTAAACGCCTGACCCGCCTCCCACTGCCTCTGCCACACACACACTTCCACACATGCACAGGAGCCATGGAGAAAGATTACCAGGATTAGAAATCCAGGGAGTGGAAAGAAAAAAAAAAAGAAATTGAACTAGGTTTAAAATTACATGGAAAATAGTCATTAGTGTCCTGCTGGCTATGTTTTCCCCTCTGTTGAGTAGGTGGTGCTGGGAGGTCTCTAGTTGATGACTCCAGCTGGAGTAGCCCCTTGCTTTACTGCTAGGTCTTTCAGTATCTGTTTTTAAGACTGATTCTCAGAGCTGAACAAGGCCCTCTCATGTCTCCCAGCCCTGGTCTCCTTCCTGGGGGGCAGCTGGCTGGAGCCAGCCCCTGACACCTCTGTTCCTGCAGAGAGGCTGTGCAGCTGCTCTTGGGTTTGGGCTTCTGAGCTGGGGGAGAGGGACAGGGCAGGCTGCTGGCAAGTGATTTACTACTTTGTGCTTTACCACTGTTGAAGTGGGGGAGTGGATGGCTTCATCACGCCTCCATGACAGATTCAGGCAGCGACAGCAAGGTCATTTCTCAATGGGTTTGTACTGGCTTGGTCCTAAAAGAACGTGTCCCGTGCTGGAGCAATGGGGGATTGTGGTACCATGCCCAAGGGCTCTGGCTGTGTGCTTTTGTGTAGTGATGACAGTAGTGAGAGAGCTGGAGATGTGACGTCCCCATGCCTGACCTTGCAGGACAGGAATTTGAAGGGGAGCTCCAGCCAGTGGGAATCTTTAGGGAGTACAAATATAAAGGGGGTCAAGATAGGATCTAATAGAGGTCACTTGAATTCATAGCCACAAAGGCCTGGCTTTCTGCTGAGCAAAGTCACTTGACAAAGGTTCTCTCTAGTTTGGTGAACTTCTGCCAGCTTCTGCAAACTGCAGATCTCCCCAGCCTCATCTGCAGCCAGTGAGCTGAGAATAATGTTTCCTAAAGCAGTTAAGTGATCTACAAGCCTAAATCACATGGATAAACTCTGTAGGTGTTTGTCAGCCACATAGGACCTTTTGGAAACATTATTCTCAGCATTTTTGAACTGCCCAAAACCAGACAGTTGGCAGAGCCAGCAAGCCTCCTGGGCAGGAGGGTGCTGTGGCAGCTGCTGGGCTTGCATTCACTGTTCCTGCCACCCCATTGTGAAATCCAACTGCCTTTAACCTGTTTTCCACCTTACTAGTGCTGGTGAGAGCCCTGTTCATGTCCACCCTATGTTGCACATGAAGTGAGGCACAGTCCTGCTTCAGAGAGGTTGTAGCTGATTTAGCTTTCCTAGTGTGTTGGATAAGGTCCTGAAGTTAGGGAGTGGCAGCAGGTGAGGGGTAAATCTGGGAGTGGCAAGGGGACCAGATCAGCCATGGCTGTGACCCCAGACTAGCCAAAAGTGATAGTAAAATCCTGGCTTCCCAGAATTCACTGATAATCCTGCCAGCAGTACCAGTGGGGTCAAGGAAGTTCCCAGGAAAGGTCTTTGACAGTGGGTGTATAGGTTATGCCTGGTGAAATGGATGTACATCATCCCCAATATTGAATTCTCCACAAGCATCAGAGGCACCACTGGGGAAGAAGTCCTGAGGTACGTATGCACTGTGGTTGAACAGTGCGTATGTAGCTTATGGATCCCCTGTCCCCACACACTGCAGCTTGGCTGTATAACCGTGCCACACACCTTGGAGAGGTCTGGAGTGAGCAATGCAGTCAGGCCTGGGCGCACCTGGGACACATGCATTGTCCCCTGCGACCTTGGATGTGACAAATGCTGCTCCCAAACCTTGCTTCTGTTGGCTTGTAATCTTCACCTGCATCTGGGTGCCGAAGGACATCTGTTGCAGACAGGCTAGAGAACAGTGGCATGTTACCAAAAAAAGAAATCATCAATGGTACTTGAAAATCAGCCGATATTCAGCACCTCTCCAGAGAGCCCCAGCTCCACACCAATTAAAGTGCCCAGAGCTCCTCCAAGACCTGCTGCATCATTTCCCAGCTGCAGGATTTCTTCAGCATGGCGAGACAAGAGATAGCCTCTTGGGTACCCGCTAATCAAGACCTAATGTGGGGCAGGGAAGTCTGACATGGAGCTGGCAGTGGGTTTTGAATGTCTTCAGCATCACATCCAAGCAGGACGTGCAGCACAGCCCCAGAACAAGCCATTGGGCTGCAGCTCTGGTGCACTGCAATGCCTTATGTTGTCTGAGTCATAGCCTCCACAGTAACCCAAGGCTGAGCTATGTCTGTTGTAGGGCAGGCAGGAGGCTGCTGCCTGGAGAATGAGCATAGCCCAGAGTGATTTCCTGAGTGACATACCTTCAGATAGGCTGGAGGAGCAGTTCATCGTAGTCTTCCCTGAATGGGCCTCCTCCCCTTGTTCTTTTATTTGCATTTTTAAACCAAACTCTAACCACATGACTGTATTTTTTAAATCTAATTTGCTGTCAGAATTACTGTCTCATTGTAGAAAATTGAAAAGAAAATACAGTATTTCCCCCCTTAACTCTGCCAGTCGTCTTTTCTTAAGCAGCTTGGGATGCCAAACTCCTCCTCAGTGGCCAGAGACTGTCTCCTCAACCTGATGTTCCAGTATGTCTAGTCCCCCACTCATGTAGACTCGTATGTGCTTCAGAAGGCCATCCTTCCGTTCCCTCTGCTAAGGAACTGTGCTGGGAGCTTGTTGGGTTTGTCTTTTTCAATGTATTAAAACATAACCCAGCCTCTGCAGGGTGACATAGCAGTGTTATCAGCCTGACCCAGTGCTACTGGTGCAGCAGGCACTCCCAGCATCTGTCCTAGCCTACAGCCTTCTCCTGGGGCCACATCTCCTGGCTGAGTATTGTGAAGGCTAGTCCTCCAACAGGGGCTCCTCTGGGCCAGCCAAAACTAGCTCCTACTTGACTTGAGCTATAGAGTGGTCCTGCAACAGCCAAAGTGGGACTCCAGTTTCTAAGTCCAGCCTAAAACCAACTAGGATGTGGAGTTCATGCTCCCAGATGGTGGATGGTGGATCCATCCTGGTGATGAGGAACACAGGGTTTGGATTTTTTTTTAAATGTAAGAAAAATCCATCCCTTTTGCCTTGCTGTGTGATTTTTTTAGCCCTAGTGCTGCTGTACGGGAGCTGGAGACTCCAGTGCAGAATGAAGGCCCCATGTGCCAGGTATAAGATAAGAGCTAATCCCTTCTTTGAAAAAAGCATCATCTGCATAAGCAAGGCAGATGCAGGCAAGTCCCATCCAGTCTTCTGAGCCTACATCTATGCACACGGGCATGTCCCAAGCTTCTGCTCCCCCAGGATGCCTTAATACCACAATCAGCTGTTCTCCAAGGTTAAGGAAATTACTTAACCCAAAAGGGCTGGCTGGGTCCTGGAAACCAGTCATGCAGCCCACTGTTCCTCAATAGCCCAAGGGTAGAACAAGTCATCCACTGCCAAATATTTATCTACCGGAATATGAGAGTGTTGTTTCTGCTGGGGGGAATGTGGGGGGATTGTACTTAAACCCTTAATCATGCCATGAGTACTGAACTTTATGTCTCAGTGAGAACAGCCACAGGCTTGGTCTTGGCCAAGAGCTGGAGAAGCCAAGAGCCAGGATTGTCCATCCATGCTTTTCCAGCAGGGAGCAAGGCACAACCCACCCCATGAGCAGCCTGCAGACAGCCCCACATTATCTTACCAAGCAGATCCTCAGGTTGACACCATTTATTGCACAATCTCTGCAGAACCCCATGCACAAGACAGTTCGGTAAGTCACTCTGCTAAATGTCTCCACTGATGGAAAGAAGATTTTCATGACATGTCCCCTTGAATAGTAGGGCACCTGGCCCTGACCCTCAGGTCTGTCTTCATGGGTCTGATCCTTCTCCAACCAGCTCTACTTTGCTAAAAGCCCATCTAGACAAGGACCTGCCCAGGGAGAGGGAGAATGAGACCCCTCTCTTATGGAGATGACTTGCTCATTTGGTTGCCTCAGCAGTACGTTCATTTGGAAAACTATTTTTACTCACCATGAATGACTAAGCACATTGGTTTGGGTGCTGGTGGCTTTTTTCTTTTTCCGCTCTTTCTTGGATTTATTTATTTTTAGGTTCCTTTGGGAAGGAAAAGAAGTGGAGCGCAGACTGGAAGCTTAGAGGACAGGAGACAGAGATCAAGGGAGAGCGGGGAGATGGGTTTTTCCCCTGCAAGCCTCAGGCTACCTTACTGCTTATAGGGCTTAGCAACACACTGAGGAATTTTATAGGTGGTATAGGAAAGAACATTCAGGAGGCTGTGGGCTTTCTCCATCAGAAAAACGCAGGGTCAAGTCCTAGTAATGGTTTCCCAGAGAGCTGGAGCAGGCTTTCATATGGAAGACTTTCTCACGGGTCTTACAGCACTTGGTTATGCTACAGCCCACATGTCTCTAACAAGATTACAGGGGAATTGCTTTGGGGCAGGAAACACCCTTATGTTCTATTTGTCTCATGCTTAGCACAAAGGGACGTGGGCCTTGACACCACAGTAATACAGATGACTATTCATAGTCACTCCAGCTTTTATTTGAAAGGAAAGTGGTCCTAAACCTTATGGTTGAGGGCTTGCATGCATGACCTTGAAGGACTCCCAGAAAATTGGAGGAGTGTTAAAACAACACAGAATATTGAGGGGTTTTATTCATTGAGCCATTTTTTTTAAGCCTATTGCCTGATTTTGAAGATTCATATGAATGGTTTTAGAACTGGTGATGCTGTATATATGCTATTGTGATACACAGTAATAAATCTCTCATTGCTCACACTTCACATCAAGAAAGATGATGAATTACCAACCCAAAGACCCAAAAGCACTCTGCAAACTATAGGGCTGACCTGGTACGTGGAGAAGAGAAAAAGCAGCCATGCAGCCTCCCTGAACTTTGTCTGCCGCACAGCAGGGAATGTGTCCACCTCTGTTGATCTGACATTCCCCTACACCACCCTGCTGCCTCCTCTTGCCTCCTCCAGAAGCCCTCTTTGACCTTTTCCTCTGCTCACTCTCCATCCCTGCCTGATGTTAAGAAGAGGAGGAGCCCTACCTACACAACTTTCCCCAGGCAAATGAACAGCAGGCTCATCAGCAGCTCCTATGATAGGCACCAATCTGCATCCAAGGAGTTTCGTTGCTCCTCCTGAACCAGCTCTGCACAGGTGCGAGTTGCCTGGGATTGTCCAAGCCCTTCAGAAAAGCTGGTGGCAGGTGGCTGCAGTTCTGCCTCTCCTGCAAACCTCTTTATCCCACAGGAGCATCATTCTCACCCCAGCACTGCTTCTGCTTCTTAGAAGCTTCTTGGAGAGAAACCTGGGTCTTGTCACAGGCAGATAATAAAACCCTCTTTACTTTGGCAGAACCCAGCAGCACTTCAGCAGTGATAAATCCTGAACCAGATGCAATTTGTCCTTTTCTAACCAGCACAGGTTGGTTAAAGGACAGCGGGATTAAACCGGCTTTGTAGAGACTGGACCCTCTCCAGTCTGGGCATCCTGCGGATGTGCAAGAAGTCCCCTCGCATCACACCAACCCATGGGGATGAACACAGGGTGTGTGCACCTACACAGGAGCCAAACCTGCCTGTGAACAGCTGAATAAATTACCATCTTTATTTCTTAGGTCAGCACTTTGTGGGTAGGCTTAAGGCAATGCCAGAGGATTTCCCTTCCCCTGCAGGTACTGCTTGCACAAACTTCTGTTTGACCCAGCCTGCTTCCAGTGCTCTGGGACTCCCCTGCTCCCCTTCCTTAGAGCCACAGCAGAACCAGCTGCTGCCTCAAGGCCACCTGAGCTGGGCCGGGCTCTGCCACTTGCATGACACAGCGTGTCCTCACATCCTCACCCTCCCGGTGCCACAGCTGCATCCTCCTGAATGACCTGCAAGCTCTCCCTGCGTGGCACCAGCTGCTCTCCAGCATCACATCCCATGGGGGATGCTACCACAGCACCCCAGAATTGGATTTCCATGCAGCTCCCAGAGTAGCTGGCAAAGGGAGGCAGCAAGCACTTCCCTGATTCTGTGCCAAGCCCAGGCACGGCCAAATCCTCCTGCGCTTGTCCATCCTTCATGACATCCCAACCTCCCTCCCCTAAAGCAGCCGCATGCCCTGCATCCTGCTTCCAGGGTGCTCCCGCCCCTGCCCACACTGGGATTTGTTCAGTGCAGACAGGATTTATCACACCACACGCAGGATTTATCCCCTTTCCATTCATCCCCCACGACCGCTGTGCTGCTGTCACCTCCCCTTGTCGCGCAGTCCCAATCGTCCCCACACGCCCGTGCCACTCTTCCTTTAGGTTTTCACCGAGCCTATGGGAACAAACACGCAGCGAGTCCCCACTGCAAAGGTCTCTGTGAGTGACGCAGGGGACAGTCGGGCAGAGCATCCCCTCCAGAAGACCAGGGAAGCCGCTCGGCCGGGGCCCAGAAGATGCCCTTCTCCAGTAAGGCATTACCAGGATGCTCCAAGCAGGAGGTGACGTCCCGGTGGGGCTGAGACACGGAGGAGCTCTCCTGCGTGGAGCATGTTCGGGGGGGAAGAAAGGGGCTGCAGGCTGATCTTCCCATTCCCTAACACCCCCACTGCCCACCGCTAGTCCATGGGTGCCCTCCCTCCCCCCTCCTTCCGCAACTCCAGCGCCGAGGAAGCCGAGCCGGAGGCAGTGCTGAGCCGGATACGCAGCGACTTCCCGCATCCCTCCTTGTGAGTATCCCTCGCTCCTCCTGATGCCTTCGGAGGAGACGGATGGACGGACGGACGAGCAGCCAGAGGTGGACTAGTCTTTCCTATTTGCAAAGCTGGCGGGAAGGGGGGGGGGGGGGGGGGCACACGACATCTTCCCACATCCCCTTCCCCATCCTCTGTCTTCATCTCCTCTTACCCCTCCTTCTCCTCCTCTCCGGGCACGATATTCTCCCCTTCAAAAATAAGGGGACGGGGTGGCGGGAATGAAACCTGCTGGCAGGTGGAAGGACTCGGGAAACGCAATCCCACCTGGAATCCCGCAGAGACTCGGCCAAAAGGAAAAAACAAAAAGGAGGGGAAATCCCTCAAAAAAAAAAAAAAATCCCCCTAGAAGGGAGGGAAGGAGGGAGAGCGAGGGGCCGGGCTGCTCTGCCGCACCGGGAGACCCGCTCCTATCCCGACATGGGACAGAAAGCCGGAGGCCCCGGCAGACAGACCGACCGACAGACAGGCGGACACGGAGGGCTTGCTGGGGGTGCAGCCCGGTTTCAGCCGGCAACTCCCGCGGAGCCCCCCCGGCTCTTCCCAAGTGTTTCCTTCTGCTTGTATTTCTTTCCGTTATGTTGTTTTTATTTATTTCCTCACTCATGGCTCGGCCGCGGGTCACGCAGGACAGCGGGCAGCGGAGGAGGGAGGCCGCAGGAGAGGCGGAGGGATGCTGCCCGCTCCTCAGCCCCCGCCGCGGGGCCCGCGGCAGCTCCGCTCCGTGGCGGCGGCTCCGTGGTCCCCGGACTCAGCGGTGCTCCTTCCGCCCCTCCTCTCCCCACTCCCTCGCTCCTCTCCCTGCTTTCTCCTCTGTCTCCCTGTCCCGCTCTCTCCTGCCTTCCCCCTGCGTCTTTCGTTTTCCATTTCTTACCCCCTCTTTCTCTCCTCACCCCCACTCCCCCGCGCCTCTCCATCCCCTCAACCCCATTTTTTACGGAGGGGGTTTGCTTTGCCAGGGCAGAGCGCGGTGACTCCGCGGCAGCCACCACGGAGAGGACACAGGATCCCCCCTTGGGCCCGCCGTGCCCTTTCGAAGGGGTGGCCTGGACCCCGCGCCACCCCCAGGACCCCCCCCAGGGCTGCTTTGCCTGCATCGCCAAGCCCCCGGCTCTCCGGCAAGCTTCGCCGGTCCTGTCTCCTTCTTCTGCCGTTTATCTCATGGAGAGCAAGAGCTGCAAAGGGGACAGCCTGCGACCGGCGGTCCCGTGCAAGCACTCGGTGGAGAAAAAGACGATGACCAACCCCACCACTGTCATTGAAATCTACCCTGACACCACCGAGGTGAACGACTACTATCTCTGGTCCATCTTCAACTTTGTATACCTCAACTTCTGCTGCCTCGGCTTCATCGCCTTGGCCTATTCACTGAAAGTGAGTACTGAGCATGCAGCACAGGGTAATGGGTGGCTGGAGGAGCGGGGGAGTGTTTGGTGGTCATGCCTGATGTAAATCACATTTTTGCCACACAAATGAGAGGTCCCATTCGCTGGGGATGGGAAGAGCAGAGGTGTGTTTTGGAGGTAGGGATGCTGCTTCGAGTGGGGAAGAGGTGCTTTGAGTTGCTTGGGTACCCTCGGAGTTTCCTCTGTACTGCAATAGCAGGTCGATGGGCTGGCTTGGCTCGTGCTGCTCCCGCAGGTATCCCAGAACTCGGTCCCTTCCTTGTCAGTTAGAGATCATCAGGGTAGGACCCAGCAGCATCAAACGGTTGGGCAGAAGCAGTAAGAAGCAGAGGGCAGTGATCAGCTGGTGCCTGGCAAGTTGCAGCAAGGGAGAAGCTGCCAGGGTGCAGGGCAATCCTGCCTGTTCAATTCTTGCCCTCTTCCTAACTAAAACACCAGCCAGCTCCTTTCCCCCCACCACTTCTGACGCCTATAAATCCCAAAGCAAGCCCTGGAGACCTGCCAGCATTATCAGAACAAGCCTCAGGTTGCCAAGGAGGTGGAAGAGGGTGCAGGGGGTCTTCACAGAGCATCAGATCTAGAGGGAAATAGAGCTGTGTTGATGGCGGTGCATGGAGCACAGCCCATGATGGGAATAGGAACAGGTTACTCCTGGTAGCTGCAGGGCAGAGCAGCCCGGTAGGGATGGCACCCAGCAAACAGGCTGGGTGGCTGACAGAGAGAAGGGCCAGGGCTGCCCTTCCCTTCCCGGCCTGACAGAAGCAAAACTGACTGAATGGATGTGCAGAGAGCCCGGGGCGGTTGGGTGGCCCCGACAGGAGCGAGCTGATTTGTTTTGGCAGGCAGCATTTAGAGGAAGGCAAGGGCGCAGACGGGCTTCATCACAGAAGATCGATTAACCCCATCCAGCTCCCACAAGCTGGACAGCCAGTGCCCAGTGCTGCAAGGAGGCTGCTCCTGAGCCCATCACGGTTTCTGGTAGAAAGGCTCAGGGACAAGTCTGCAGACCCATGAGCTAGGCAAACCCAGCACTGGCACTATGGTGTCTGCCTCAGTTTCCCCCTCCCCAAGATGGGAGGTGAGCACACATTCACCCATGTAGCAGGCTTCACTGGACCTTGCTGCCTGGGCAAGTCCCTTAATAGCTTAAGTCATGCTGGGATTGAGCATCACCACAAACAGGACTGACCCAGGGGCAAATCCAGGCAGCGACAGACTAACACAAGTGGAGGGAGAATCCCTTAACACCCCCCCCACTCTTCCAGCCCTTTATGGAAGAAACTGGCTTCCTCCATATTTTTCATGTCTTTGCTCATCTGAATTTGCCTTTGAGATACAGTCAGTATCTTTCCTGTGCAAGAGGCATGGTTGCAGCAGGCTAAGAAATAGTGTTATGTCACCAGGACATGGCGGTAGCTACAGCAGATATCTATTATCTGGGTAGACGTGGTCCCTTAGTTGCAGCTAGCATGGGGGCAGGACAGCCTGAGGACCAAACTTATCCAATACCCAGGGGACAGGATGAAGTAGGCCCTACCACCTACAAAGCTTTTAGAGGCTGGACCCTTCACTACCCTTGACACGAGGTGGAAGGAAGAACAAAGGAAGAACAAAGCCCAGAAGTAATCTGGGATCGCCAGGGCAGAGGTGTGAACTCAGCATCTGGCTGCAAAGGTCTAGAGGATATAAACTCCACTGTGAAAAAAGAAGCAGTGGTGAGGGAAGGCAAATGGTCAAATTTGCTCCAAATCAAGAAAGGAAAATATAAGATGGCTGTCAAAACCCAGCCTTGGCTTTTGGACTGCAGAGGTGGCAGCTGATTGGATATAATGGTGGTACCCAAACAGATGTAATGCTGAGCGGGTAGAAATAACCCTGCTCTGGTCTTGGAGCTCCCCAGTATCTGTGACCCTGTGGCAGTGGAGGAAATGGAAACAAAATGTCTCACAGAGGCACAGGGCAGAGCTAGCAAGTGACTGAAAGGATGGCAGGTGCCTTCATGGGCTGCTATCAGGACGGGTGGTGGGAAGCAACAGGGATGCTGGGGAAGCAGCAGATCTGCCCTGGGGAAAACCACTGGGATGCTGAGAAAGACAGGATCCTTCCTCACTCATAGCTACTGCAAAAACCTTCACAACATCCTGGCTAGGCTGGATGTTGGAGTTATTCCTCCAGGAGCCTGTTGTTTTCATCTCTTCTATAGTCAGTGAGGTTTCTCCCAGAGCTTCGGAGAAAGCAGAAGCAAGAAACATCCTGGGACAAATGTCCCTTTAAACAGACTTTTCTTGTTCTTCTGTAATTAAATGAAAGGACAATTGAGCAGCAGATACTTAAGTTGCAGCCTTCCAAAGATGCCTGTGCTCTGCAGAGGCCGAGTAAGGTGCTGTGGGAGGGAGAGGAGGGGAGCAGCCTCTTCCCTTCCCTGAGCCTGTTCTGGGATGTCTGACTGCAGAGTCCTTGACTGGTTTAGCACAGGGTTCCTGGCTGAAGGGCCATCAGTGTGCTGATGGCACCAAAAGGTTCCTGGGTTATGGTGTTCACATTTCCTTTAAATAACTGAAACATCTAGCAACCTCAGGAATCATTTCATTATCAGAGATAGCTTTTTCAATACCCCGCCATAAATGTCATCTGCTTTTGCCAGATTCATGCTGTTAATAAAACAGTAGATCCTTCGTCCCCCAAGTCCGTGAGAGGTTTCATTAAGTATCTTAGCACACTGTAGTACCTCCACCAGTTTCGGCAGCATAAAGCCCACACTGGAAGACAGATGTATGCCTCGGTACACTTGAATGTTACGGTAAAGCTGTCTCATTCCCCATGCTCACTTTTATTGGTTTTAGATCCTTCAGTGCCTCCATGTCTGCCTGGCCTTTTGCACGAGCTGCAGCCTTCTAGATCTCTTCTGCAAGGAAATGCTATTTCATGGTGACCAACATTTACTAAAAAAATACCAAAAACCCACCCCAGAGTCAAAGAATTTATATGCACTTATTCAAAGAAACACACGAAGTCAGAGACTGTGACACCCAAGCCAGGTACTCTGTGTGACAGACATCCCAGCCAAGTGCTCTGAGTAAGAATGCAATGGCACACTGCATCTCCATTTACACTCGTAGTTAAACCAGGTCCTCAGCAGACGCAGCTTGTGGGACTGCAGCAGAGTCACACTGACTCACATATCCCCCAGGGGTGATTTCTGGCATCTCAGGCTTCTCAAGGTCAGCCTGAGCACAGACATGTAACCAGCCATAACAGTGTGTTGGTGCTGGTGGAGAAGAGATAAATAGCAGGACCAGGGGAGTTAGAAACCCTAAAGTTACCTTAAACCCAGCCCAATACAGGTGCGATGATTGCTCCAATGGCAATGCTTTGGATTTGGTTGCTTTTGATCAGGAGTAAATGCCATGGCCTGATATTTGGCAGCTCTCTGCCTCTCTCTTTCCCAGCTCCAAGCAGTAACAAATGATGCATCAGTGCTTGGTGGCAGGAGATTTCACTTCAGTCGTTACGAGGTCCAGTCTTTTTCAGTATCCATTATGCCAGAGGAGCTGGGATCTGAGACGAGCAGTGGTATAGATGCCTTGCTGCAGCTGTGTGAAGACAAAGATGTCACGAAGCTCCACTGGCTTTTTAAGCCCCACCAGCAGCTTGCAGGGCTGCTTCCAGTTTTCCTGGCCCTCAAAGCCACAGAAATACGCAGTGTGATAGCACCCCAGGAGACATGAGCTCTCCTGCCTGTTCTCTGCCTGGCCCTTAGCACACAGCTGTGGGCACGGTTGTCTGCCTTCCCCTCTTGCCACTTGTTGATCTTCCCTGTTTCAAGAGGAAGCAGACGGGCACAGATCCATAGCTATTTATTAACCCTGAGAAGCAGAGAATCTGTGGCACCTGGCCTCTCAGGCAAGCTCTCAGCCTGCTTTTCAGGAGGAGCGATGGCTTATGGAGGTGGGTGAAAAGCAGGGGTGACAGCGCCATGACAAGGGCGCAGGCAGGGTGGAGAGCTCTTGACCGATTCACAGAGCAAATAAACCCAAGGATGCCTTCCAGAGCTCCTTATGTTAGGGACACTGAGCTCTGCACAGAAATCAGTTTACAGACAAGCAGCTGTCGACTGCATGCTAAAAGCCAGGCTGCCTTAAATACAGCCTCATTAGGATCGTTATCAACAAACCATTTGTCTTCTCTTGCAAGCTGAGGCAGCACTTTTTATTCACACAAGTTCCCTATTCCTAAAAATGAGAGGGGTTGAGCCCCAGAGCAGAGAGAGGGGAGGTGGCTGCTGAGGAAGGAGCTGTGAAGGAGCAGGCAGTAGGGAAGGCTTGGAGGGAAAGCTGAAGGCAAAATCCCAAAGGGAGGAAGGACAGGTGATGGTGGTGAGAGGGAGGAGAGAAAGAATTCTTTGGTATCAGCATGCTGGAGATGGTGGAGGACAAGGTGAGCAGCCAGGAGATGACAGGCAAGCAGGGAGGGAGGAAAGGCCATTGCTGGTGCAGGAAGGAAGAAAGATTTGCACATTAAAGCACAAAAGCAGGCTGTTTCATGGAAGGCCAGACACAGAAGAGGAAAGGAACTGTAGAAGTTGCCAAGCTGGATCAGAGGTAAGCTCTGCACTGCCCAAGGTGGAATTGCCAAAGGGTCCACCACACAAGGCTTTGGGGTGCGTGGGAAGCCCCGCAGCCAGCAGATGTAATTATCCTTACACCAGGTATCTCAGTGCAAAGCAGGGCCAAAAGCCCCCATGTAGTTGTAGGAAAGGTGAGAAGGGTCAAAGTGATGATGGGAACAGAGTCTGTAACTAAGGAACACCACACCTGGGTCTGGGGTAAGGGGGTGACCTTGGAGACCTGTGGAAGGAAGCAGCTCCCTGGGATTGCGCACCAGCTGCTAGCACATTATGGTAATGGTGGCCACGGAATCATGAATATAGGAAAAGCTGAGCCTGGGCTATGAGAGAGACAGTGGCACCTCCTTTAGGTCAAAGCAGGAAAAGAGATTGAAAACTTACCTGCTCTCCAGAAGAGCTCCTCCTCCAGAATCTGGCTCAGATGCTGCAGTGGGACATTAAAGGGAGACGTCTGAAAGCACCTGGGGGTGCAAGGAGAGGCAAGAGTTTGAGAGGATGCACTGGAGAGATGTGGGAGGCTGGGGTTGCTAGTAGTTTGGAAGGAGAAACGCCTTTATGTTGCTCTTGTGTGCTGCAGAGACCCTGGCACTTATCTGGTGCTTAGAGGCCCCATTGCAACATAAATGATAATGGACAATAACATGATTTGCATGATGGTGACTTCTGAAGCTATATGTGTATGGGGAAATAGCAAGGGAGGAGAAGAAAGGGACCAAGGAATTGGTGGCCAAGGCCAGAGCAGACAGAGGAGAGCTAGGAAAGGTAATGGACAGGGGGCTGCCGGAGACAAGAGATAGAGACAGAGTTCCGTGTAATGCAGGGTTGGGCAGGGGTAGGTGGAACCAGCTGGTAGCACAGAGAGAGGAGGCAGCTAGATGCCCTTTGGTGGGAGTGGAAGGTGGCTGTCTGAACCATCATTTGGGCCCAAACAGGAGGGAAAAGGAGAGATGGGAAGGACAAAAAAAAGGAACTGGGAAGAAAACTGGGGCACTGGGGAGGGGGCAGCCCCAGGCACCCCTCGCTAGGGATGCTTATCAGCAGCAGGACTGGAGTGGGGCCAAGGGTAGGTCAGGTGCTGCTGAAGCATGCCATGGGAAAGACCCATGTCACGAGTGTGAGCCACTGTCAGGTGGAAGAGGCTGCTGGGAGAAGGTAGGGCATGGAAATTAGGGTGGCAGGGTGCCCTGGGGTCAGGAGGAGCAGGAGGTGAGGAGTAGGAGAGCTCCTGAGGCCAAGAGGAACTGGCCCCGCAAAGGCAAAGTAAGCAGTTCACTGCAGGAAGAGCTGCAGAGCTTGGTGTTCTGGCTATGCTGCTCTGCTGGAGAAACCTGTGCTGCCTGGCAAACACTTGATGGCAAACACTGGCTTGCCTGCAGCAGAGAGCAACCTCTTCCAGGGTGGCTTACAGTGGAGGAAGGGTCAAAAGGCATTTGCTCTGCATAGTTGCCTCTGGCAGCCACCGAGAAGAGGAAAGCACATGAGAGAGCTTTAAAGAGCCTTCTGTGAGAAGCGGCTGGGATTTCTGTCCCAAATCCAGTGCCTGTGGGTCTCTGGCTGCAGGGACCTCTGTGCTTCTCAGTGGGTGAGGATGTGCTAGCTGCCTGGCACTCCTGTGCCCCGGGGGTTTTGGGAGGATGCTAAACCAATGGATAATTTCAAAGGTGCGTCACCCTGGACACACAGCTGACACCGAAAGGCATGCAGGCTCCCAGGCTGACAGCTTGCTGCCTTCCCAGGGGTCATCCCCACTGCTAGCAGCAACAGCCAAGCCTGCCATGGAGCTATATGGATGGCCCTGGCTCCAGCTGTAGGCTCCCAGGAGCGGGATGTAACAGAGGCCAAGGACATGGCACTGCAGGATTTAATACAAGGAGAAGAACAGAGCTCTCATTCTTGCCTATGTGCCTGCCAGTGACAGCTCCTGCAGGCCTCGTGCCAGATGCAGCATCCATACCCACAGTCCAGGATTAGTGAAGAGCAGAGGGTGCTTGTGCAGAGGTCCTCACTGGTGTGAGAGGAGAGGACATTGCCTGAGGGTCTGAGATCTGGTTTTGGAGGCCCCATGAACCAGCATGGCTCAGTGGAAATGAAGGGGTTCATCAGCCCTTCCCAATACCTAGCAAGCAGAAGGCTTTCAGGACAGCCCCGTGGGTAAGCACTGCAGAAGGGAGAGAGAAAAAGTCATTAGGACGTGGTCTGAATCCATCACAGTCTTTTTGGAAAGCTTCCTGGTCCATAACAGCCTTTCAGTATTTCTAGGTAGGACAGCGGGGCTGGTTCTCCCAGCCTGACACCGACATCTAGTGTTAGGTCGGCAGCTTCTGGTGGCACTCGCACTGCCGGCAGTGCACCAAAGGACAGGGCCCGCAGCCTTGACCCTCTGGCCACAAAGCAGGCAGCATAGCAGGAGCTGCCGTGCCATGCCATATGGTCCCTGGGTACCCCACTCGGATACAGGAAAGGGAAGAGGGGTCGAATCTCCCTGTCCCTTTGTCCAAAACCCTTGTGGCTCCAGCTGCCTGGGTCTGCTGAGTGCTGGCTGAAGGGGCAATTTGGGGACAAGGACACATATCTACTAGGAAGAGATGGAGCCTGAGCAAAAAGCAGATGAAGTGCTGCTGGTGGGCAGTGCCATCAGTTGCCTGGGTGTGCCATCTGCTGCCTGCTGATGCTATTGCTGCCTGCTGATGCCATCACTGCCTGCGAGTGCCATCCACTGTCCAGCTGTGCTATCCACTGCCTCCTAGCGGCATCACTGCCTAGCTGTGCCATCTGCTGCCTTGCCATGCCAAGCACTGCCCAGCTCTGCCATCCGCTGAGTTGCAGTGCCATCCACTGCTGGCAATGCCATTGCTGCCTTCTAGTGGCATCACTGCCTAGCTGTGCCATCCACTGCCTGCTGGTGCCATGGCTGCCTGGAGGAGGTGGGGACAGGCCAGTGACACAGGCATGCACAGTCCTTACCCACTGCAGAGCTGCCCCAAAGCAAGCCCATGAATGTCCCAGCCTTCAGGGTAATGAAGAGAGCAGAATGCGCTGTCAGGATTGAAAACTGCCAGTGGCAGAGGCGCTGCACGAGCTGCATCAGACCTGCAAAAGGAACTCATTAACCCAGGACTGCTTAATATGCTGGAGGCTCGTGCACAGCCCTGGAGCTGTAGTAGGATACTCTGCCAGCGCTCACCCACTCAGCCCCTCAGTGCAGACAGAGGCATGGGGATGCACACCAGAACTGCAGCCAGCCCTCTTGCTCGTGGCCTGGGTGAGGTGAATTCTGGGGCTGCAGGGCCAGAGAGCTATGACATGGTGGGAAGGATGCTTGAGTGCCCATGTGCATGGGGTGCATGATGGCATCTCAGTTCCTTTATGCATCTTCAGGCTCAAAAGACACTGCCCCACCCCAGAGGCCATAGGGACCTCGTTTGCCTGGTTGGTAACAGCAATGGGTCTTCTCTGCTTCCAGAGATTTCCAGCCCACAGGTGTTACAATCCTTGGCTTCACAGGCTCAACCCATAGCAGAGCTGGAATGCAAACCACACCTTGGTGTGTTTTATGACACCCCACGCATTCAAATCATAGAATAAGCAAGGTTGGAAAAGAACTTTAAGATCATCAGGTCCAACCTTTACCTCAGGACTGCCAAGTGCACCACTAAACCATGTTACTAAGGGCCTCATCCACATAATCTACATGGTTTTTGAACACTTTTAAAGTGTTTATCCTTGAATGCTTTGAACATTTTGAACATTTCCAAATGAAAAGAGGCACTGCTCAGTCCTCATCTGCTATACAGGTGCCCTACAAATGAATTGATTTTTTGTGAGTGTTGTTTGAAACGCTTTGTCTTTTGTATGTCTTCCAATTCTTTTATTTAATTACTTTTTGTGTGTGTATCTCAGGCCCGGGACAAGAAACTCCTCAATGACTTAAATGGAGCTGTTGAAGATGCCAAGACAGCCCGTCTTTTTAACATCACCAGCTCAGCCCTTGCCACTTTCTGTATAATCCTTATCTTCATCTTCCTGCGATACCCCCTCACTGATTACTAGAGTGAGGCCAACAGCAGTGGCCACCGCCAAAATGCCTCTATGCCAGAAGTGTCTGCAGTTGTTTCTTGTAGTAAGGGCGCAAAAGAATAAAAACAATACTCCACCTTGATTGCAAAAAATTAGAGAAGAGCCAAATAAATACATAAATAAAAGTGAAAAGAGTTTATCAGCCCAGGTGAGCGTACCCTTCCTGCTCCCAAAAACAGTACGTGAACTGCTATAGGAAAGGGTCTCTAACACATGTACAGGAAGAAAAATAGACCAAGAAATATTTATTTTATGGTCAACAAGCCATGTGACAAGAGTGTGCAAAGCCCAGAGCCACGCATGCCTAGCAGCAGAGAGCTGAGCTCTGGGGAGCAGTGGGGGTCTTGTCAAGCAGGAGGCATGTGCAGCGATGGATGGGTTCCACAGCAGGGCTGGCTCACAACATATCAGGTGTGTTCAGACTGCCCCACCACCTCCTGATGTATGGGGGGTTCTTTTCCTTTTCCTCTCTTGGATTTCATCCAATGTTCAAACAACCCCCAACCCCTGGAGAGCTGAGGGTGCTAGGAAGTTCATGCTAGGGAGCCCCAATATGTTACAGAGCAGGCTTCTCCTCAGGATCTCCTGGCAATGCTGAGAAGGAAGGCACCTTCTGGAGAACTCACCTAAGTCCCCTAAACAGATTCTGTATTACAGTATTCTGTAAACAGTCAATAAAAGATACCTCTGCTAACTGGCGCTGCTGAGTTAATTTCTTCCTTAGGAGGGCTGTGCTCCAGGTCCCTACAGGCTGACAAGAGAAAATGCTAATGTCACCAGTGCCTGCTTGGAAGAGATTTGAAGCAGGAGTGAGGGATGCTGCTGCAGGTCAGGGCAGCATGCAGCCGTGAAGGACAGTGCAGATCCAGATTTAAGAGCAGAGACCTCAGCGACTCCTGCAATGGTTGATCAATGGCAAGGAGTCAAAGGCAGTTGAACAGGCAGGTCCCCCTCCCCTGCTAGGACCAGCGCTGAAGATAGAAATGAATTGCTGCAGCCTGAAGCTGCTGCTACTGCAGCACCTCCCAGGGTCTTTACTGAAAGCCATGTTTCAGAGGCACCACGCATTTGCTGCTAAACAAGGCAGGAGTTCAGAGCCCTTCCTGATAGCAACAGCTATCTCATCTTTTTCCAGCTCTATGATGACCTTGTGCCAATGGAGACCAGTTGCTGCAGACCAGCCATAGAACTGGGCCCACCTTTGTGCCCACCACTAAAGCAGAGGTGCAGCAAGAGATACAGAATGCAGACAGGCCATCATAGGACACTTCATGCCCTGCTGGGTGTGAGGTTAAATCAATGTGTTGTGTCTGGGCTCTGCCACAGCAAGCTGTGGGGACAGACCATAAGGATGCTTCCCTAAAAGCACCCTTCCTGCCCAGCTCTCTACACCTTAACCCCATCCGGGCTTAATTTATGGGGGAAGTTATGGGCAGAAGGACTTGCAGTCCTACCTACTCCCCACTCACTGGAGGGCATTTCCATACCAGTCCAGATCAGGGGGCTGTTTTGCACTTAAGAGTCCTCCGTCAGTGCAGTGCGTGGTGCTCTGCGAAGTATCTCGACCATGAACTGCTCTATGATCACCCATCCGGAGGTCAAGACTCTTCCCAACTTCTCTTGGTTATTTCTTGTTCCCTTCCCTGAAACAAGATCTGAAGGGTCATAGCCATCAGCATTTTTCCATCTTAACACCTCTAGGGGATGTATCCAGTCCTTGTCCACAGCAGAGGAAGGAAGTGGCCTCTCGATGGCAATGCCTCCAAAGAGGGTGCAGCCAAAATGACTTGCCACCCTGTGCTGACACCTGATGATTGGAGCAAATTAAAGCCTGCTGGGACAGTGCTAGTTTAGGCAAGATCCAGACTAGTCACCCCGAAATCCTCCAAGGGTTAGGAGGAGCACGGAGAGGTTGCATCACCTTTTCCCTGTACCTGCACTGAGCTCACACTGGCAGTTCCCAAAATCTTGTTCTCAATGTCCTTTACCATCCAGACGCCCACTGTACCTCTCAAGCTTTGCAGCCCAAACACAAGCCTGGTAGGATGAGCAAGTACTTTTGTTCTCAGAGACCCTCTGAATCTATGAAATCTGGAAGGGATGGTGCCACACAGGAGAGAGCCACCCTGCTTGGCATGCAGGCACAGGTCTGCTCAGCTAAAGGCAGAGCTGACACAAAATTGGAAGTACCCCAAAGCCAGCCTTTCCTACATTTAACAAGTGTGACAAATGAGTTACCATCATCCCTTCCCCCGATGGACTGTCTTTATCTGCAAGGAAAATGGATGCTGTGTAAATGAACCAGGGGGAATTCTGAACTGACTCTGCATCATTTTTGCATGCATAAACCATCAGGGATGGAGAGGGTGGGCTATTATTAGTAACAATCACATTTATTATTTGTTGCACACATTATAGGAGGTGTGAATGTTGAAATTGCTGTGTTGTAGCAGGTCAGAGGCCCACCCAAACCTGCCTTAGACACAAAGAGGGTAGCAGAGGAGCATGCAGTAACCCCTTGGCTGGAGGATGGGATGATTGATTCCAGGCAGCTGCTCAGCTTCACCACAGCCCTCACCTCAGCTCCACCTGCAGCTCTGGGCCAGGAGCAGCAAAGCCCCTGTGCTCTCCCCTCCTCTCCCTTTCATTTTAATGGAGTCCCTCCAAAATCATGCAGTAGGAAAGCACCCCCAAATGGGGAAAAGGGAGGGGGAAAGATAGATTTCCAAATATTCATTTAGTCTTGCCATTGTTTGATAACCCCAAATTAAGATGGCAAAACTGCATCTCCATATACTGTCAGGCAGGTACATCCCAGATTGCACCAACCTTGCTGTTACGTGAAAAATGAACTTTTGTTCATTCTGAAGAAACGATGGAAAGAAAAGCAGCAGCCGAATCTGACAGGTCCTGTGACTGCTTTGTGCTTTTTGCCTTTTCTCTTTTTTTCTTTTTTTTTTTTTTTTAATTTTGCAAGAAGGTTCCAGAAGCTCAGGTTTTGCCAAGGCTGACACCCGATGCAGCAGAAGGCAGGCTTTCAAAGGTTGCTTCTCTGCCTTTTCACTTCTGCCACTCACGTCACGCAGCGCTCTCCAAATCACACCTTTTTTTGGCTGCGAAGCCACAGCCTCTGTTGCACTCGACGGCGGGAAGGAAAACTGAGAGGAGGGGGTGGAAGAGAGGAACAGCCAAACGCTGCTTGAGAAGCATCTTTTGATGGGGAAGAACTGACGGTCACGTTGCCATATAGAGATTTAATTGTATTCCTTCAGGAAACTGATCTTGACAGCTTGACGAGGATTTCGGTTTGCTTTTTCTTTAGGTAGATGGGAAAAATGGAGAAGGGGGAAGTGATTGTTCCCTTTTAGTCGACATTACGAGATTGTGCCTAAAATACTGCTGCTGGTTTTGTGCCCCTGGTAAAGGAAGATGTTCGGGGTGGGCGCGGTGAAAGGCCACCGAGCTTGATGAGGGGCACGCGTGCCTGGGAAGGAGATGGGGTGGGAGCGGGGTTCGTTCAGTCCAGCGAGGAAAGAGCTTCGGAGTTCCTTCACGGCAGCGCCAGCACCTCGGAGAAGGTTAGGGAGGAAAGGAAGGAGTCGGATGCCCGCTCCGCGCTTGAGCTGCCCTGCTGCGGGAGGCAGGCAGAGGGCCCCCTTACACTGCTCCAGTGCAGCCAGCAGCTCGCCGCCACGCCGCCAGCCCATCTCCGCGGCCTCTGGGCACACCAGAAGGCTTCTGGTCCCTTGCCGGGAGCGGTGGTCCATCCCCGCCCATCCCGAGCAGCAGGCACTCTCCCCCCACCAAACCCGACCGCAGAGGAGATGCGAGCCCCTACCCGGGGCAAGAGGCAGCGTGGGGTGAGGCTGGCTCCGGCACCCTAAAACCATCCAGAGGCAGGTGGGGGCAAGCTGACAGCCATAGCCTCCTGCAGGGACGTGCCCCTTATGCCAGCCGGTATGCGTGCATCACGCAAGGGCCTGGCGCCGCTACACATTTACCCTCCACACTGGCCGGGAGAGGTGGCTGCGGGCCGGGTGTCGGCGTGCTTGAGAGCAAACCCGCTGCCACGCAGCTCTCAGGGACGCCGCCGAGCCAGTTCTCAGACAGCAGGGCACGAAATCCCAGCGGGGGTGGGCTGGTTCTGTTCGGTCGGTAAATGCAACCCCGCAGCTTTCCTAGTCTAGGGGAAGAGTAATGGAGAGCTGGAGTTAATTCAGGTAACAACCTTCCAGCCCAGCACCAGTATTCACCAGTTCCCATGCCATGGGTGAGCTGCAGGGCTTGCAGGCAAAGCACGGTGAGTCAGGGCTGGAGCAGCACTCAGCCTGGATACCCAAACTAACAATTAGGGATGTAAATGGCAACCTCTATCCTTCTGTGGGCCGTGTGAGCCACCAGCAAAATCCAACACGTAGCCTCAAAACCCTTCTTCCCAGGCACTTCGTGGAGCAGGAGGCAGAGTCACGCTGCCAGCAAGTGGCAGCTTTGGCCTCTTCCCAGCCATGTGCTGATGTCCTGGGTGACCTTACCAAAGTCCTTTCTCCTCTATATTTTCCCCTCAAAAACGGTCTCATCGGTTGTCAGAGGAGGAACTGCAGTCTTGCTCAGTGACACCAGGTCTTGGGCTTGCTTGGGACCTTGGCACCATGGGGGTCCTGCAAGTGGTGCAATTGCAGCAGTGCACAGATACAATCAGTGGATACAGGAGAAGAGCAGGGCACTGCTGGAGCTGCTTCTCCCCTACTCTCCATCCTTGCACACTGTCAGGACTGTACAGGATACGTGCCGCAGGTTGGGCAGAGAAGAGAGCCCGGCTCTGCAGGCAAACCACGGCAGTGCGCAGCCCTGCCAGGGGGAGGAGAGGGAGGCACAGATGGCAGCAGATGCTCTCATCAGTGGAAATGATTGAAGCAAAACACAAACCAAACCAAAACAAAACAAAACAAAAAAAAATCCTAGCAACTGGTGAGCAGCCTAACAAAAAACAGCACAGGGGTAGAGAAAAGGGGTCTAGACTGAAAGGACCCTTGCATGGAGCCTAACTCTGTGCTGCCTTCTGGCCCAGGATAATGTTTTCCCATCCTCAATT